TCACGGGGCATTGTACCTGAACCAATTTAAAGTTGCTGCATGCAATCTAAAATGACAAATGATGCCTGGTTCGTGATCACACTGCTTCGGGCATGGTGTTTCACCCCCACTGCATATGTTCGAAAGCCGCTACTGACTGGCGCTGCTGTGCAGCCAATCTGAGACAAAGCCTACACATGCTTCTAAACTAAACCCCATCATTGGCTTTCAGCCAACTCAAATATCCCAAAACATCGAGACAGATAGCCCAGTTCATCACTCCGTGCTTCTGTAAGCCTCGGGTGTATCAGAAAATGTTTCCACAAATCATGTGTTTTGAGAATGCTTGTGTGTATACTGAATTTAACTTCAACTTAGAAGCCTCTTTTGCCTTCACCTTTGCCTCACTCTCAGACAGGCCAGATTGGAGCGCAGATCTCATCGCCACATGATAGGCACTACTCTTGCGGGATGCCTTCTTGCAGGCTGCAAGCTTCTCAGGGTCTTCATCCACCTCAGCTTTGCGCTTCCCGCTCTTGGTAGATTTCTCTTCTTTGCCCTTTTCATCGGCGACATTTGCCTTTGCATTCTGGTCCTTTGCTTTCCGCGAGCGAGGCTTCTCTGTGTCCTCATCTTTCTTGCCCTCAGGCTTCTTGCCTTTGCTTTTCTGGCTCTTCTTGACTGTTGATGCATTTGCATCCATGTCTTCACCTTTCCTTTTGCGGGATGCAGCAGACTTGGCCTTTGCCTTTGGAGTCCCTTTCTTCGCTTTCGAAGGCTTCTTACACTTGGCATCCTCCACCTTTTCCTCTTCAACCTGATCTTCGTCCACCTCTTCCTCTTCTGACTCCTCATCTTGAGACTCCTCATCTCGAGACTCCTCATCTTGAGACTCATGATCTCCAGACTTGGCTTTAGAGGCCTTGGAGCCCCTGCCACGGCCACGCCCTTTTGCTTTTGCACCACGCCCACGCCCACGTCCGTTGGCTTTGGCTTTCGCTTTTGGCTTTGCTGTTGCCTTGGTTTGCTCTTCTGGAGAGACATGCTTCACATGTTCCAGAACCAGTGGTGGCGACTCAGTAGGATAGAACTTTGACCGTAGACATGCTGCTTCCTCAATATCTGCAGCAACCACCTGCTCTGACTGTTTAGCCAGATTGGTCAACTCTTCCTGAACATTGTCGGGCTTTGAAGAAGAAGTCTCCCCCCCACCTGTCACATCACAAGGCTGAGACTCCAAAGCGGGCTTTTGAGCTGGATCAGCCAGGCTCAAATTAGAGAACTCCTCAGTCAAACCAGTGTCCAACTTGTCAGACTGGTCACACATCTTCTCAATCTTTGGGGCCATCAACTCCTGGGATGAAGCCTTTGGCTTGGGATCTTCCTGACCTTTGTCGGACTTGGGATTCATCTCATGTGAAGGCACCACGGACTTTGGCACCAAAGCTTCAGGATGCTGGTCAGATCCAACCATCTGCTCCTTCACAGGAGCGACATCGCCCTGACCATGATCAAAGCCATCCAATGTCTTAGTCTGGTCAAGGCCACACAACTCCCTGAAAGTCTTTGGCTTCGAAGGTGATAGTGGGGCTGGCTCCTGGAAATCAAGCTTAAATCTAATTAAGCTTCAGCTTGTGGAGCAAAAAGGGTAGACATCACAGCACAGGCATGTCCTCCGGAATGGTATGCGTGAACTGGGAATCCATCGGCAAAGTCGACATGGTGTCCACGTTGATGCCTGATTTTCGATGAGCAACAAATGATCATCATGCACATCCAAGAAAACTTGTAAAACATACACACATATGGATTACATTGTGCATCACATGGATGTCTCACCAAGCTACTGCTAGGGGCCGTGTGACTGCATGCGGGCACAGTCGAATTGATCAACGACCTGCGATCCTGCTCGACGATTTCCAATTGACGCAATTGTTCATCCAGTTCCTTCTGCTCAGACTCTAACTCATCAAATTCCTTTAGCTGCAAAGCCAAGTTGTCCTCCTCAAGAACACACTCAGCCAGGAGCCTATCGATGTCCTCAACGGAATCTTCAGGTTCTGGCTGTTCTGGGGCACACACCTGGTCCTTCAAAACTGAGGCACCTTCCCCAGCACTGCAATGTCCCAAGTTGGGGTTGGACATGACAGCTGAGTCACTTGACCCACCTGTGGAAACACCAGGACCATCTGGGGTGTTGGTAGCATCTTTGGGATGGTGTTCTGAAAGCTTGGGCTCGGTGCCTTTAGAGGCAGGATCCAATGGCAATCCACTTTCCAGTCGCCCCGCTCTAGAGCAGGGCTGGGTCACCAACGACAGCAAGTCATGGGACCAAACTCCACAATCTTTACACTCAAAACCATTGTTCACCGGAAACGTGAAGTGCCTATAAATCTTCTCAGAACTTGGCAACTCTTCAGGCACTGGCTTTCCTTGGCGCACATGGTGTGCACAACTAACACGATCTCCCAATATATGTAAAAACATGAAACCATGTCAATTCACTTCTCTGAAATTCACTCAAGAAAGGCTCCTCCTAAAGGAGGTGGCGTAACAATGGTTGGAGATGTTTCTGGTGTGGCTGGCACACTGCCCACACGAGCCTCTGCAGATGCAGGGATGGATGGTTTGCCTGCCCGGTAAGTGACACAAGCGGGTTGGTTTCAGAAAGCATCAAAACTGAAGAATGATGAATCATGCCTGTAAGCTCAACCTCTGGCTCAACTTCCTCATCCTAAGTGTGCGGAACATGGAACTCAAGTCAATTATATAGTGGTCATATATATCCAAGATACATCAGTGGTGTTTTCACTTTCTTCTCCTTCGTCTTCTTCAGACTCCGAATCCAAATGTGAACCTGGGGGCAGCTTAAAATTATGTGAAGGGACGGGATAAGATCCCAAGAAACAATGTCTTTGCAGTCTGAGTCTGAGATTTAATATTGCACCCGCATTAGCTAATTTGGCACAGTAACTGGATCTGAGGGGAAGTTCAATTCCCGCTGCTTGATAGATTTCTCTCATAGCCTTCTCCCTAGGGAAGTGCCCCCTCTTGGCACTCCGCGTAAAGATGCTGATCAGCCGTCTGATCATCCACGCAGCATGCCGGGCCACAGAACCTCAGGAGGCAAGGCAGCAAGTGCTAAACTTTAAGCATCTTGAAGTATGACTTCCATACAATCACATATACATATCTGTTTCAAAATAAATTTAAGCAAACATATACATCCAAAGAACGTGAAATTGGAGGTTTTCCACGGGGCCGAGCATAGCTGAAGAAGTGCTCAACAAAAACACAGAGCTGGTCGATGGTTGTCCTCACACCTACATATTTCAGCACCGGAATGATCACGTCACTGTTTGCTACCACATCTGCTCTGTTAAGTCCTTTGGCCTCAGGGTCTGCAAGCACAAGTCTGCCATGGATTCCACGGTTCATCAGAACCGTGCTGCTCGACCACTCTTCGACGATTGGTGACATGGCCACAGACTACCAAATGACAGATCACAAGCTTTATCACAAGCCAAATGCTGACACACCACACTCAACTGTTAGCATAGCTCAATCTGCTCAATTGCATCCGATTTCACTACATGTTCCAGCTGAGCGCACCTCGCCCCAATCGAAATCCGGCAGGTACACCTGGCCAAAAGACAAAGCCATCCCTCCAAACCCCACTGTATGGTTCGCCCCCCACAAGGCCCAGAGCACATGATCGACGTAACACCAATCATGGTCAATCATGGCGGATGAGCCTTCAAGCAAGTGGCGAACTTATCCATAACATCGGTAGAGTACCTTCAGAGGTGCTTGTTTGAACCTATATGATCATCAGTCATCTTAAATCTTCAAAGCATTGTGAAGCATGTTGCGAATCCATCATGCCCATGAGCATTTTGTTCTTAGGATAGATATAGAGTAAATCAACTTGTGTGCACCAGAAGGGCACGAGATGATGGCCACTCCAGGTGCTCAAAATGGAGCAGGCAAGCCAAATGGCTACAAAACTAAAAAACGCTCGAATTGCATAAAAGTGCTCGAGGCCGTGAGAAAGTGTATCGAAGTGAGGTTTCTGCTACGAGTCCATGGTTTCTGTATCAAACAAGGGGTAGGGCAAGAATTCTTGCTACGTTGGAAGGTTCAGGTATATAATCTATAAAGTTTATCTATATATATTAACACTCCAAAAACAATCAAAGTGGAAAATGATGGAAAATGACCCGGGGATTGTCCACTTCCATGTTTGTTGGAGGGGGGTATATTCTTGTGGCACCCCTTCAGTTGTTTCGGATTTCACCTTCCTCTGGAAAACCATCGCCAAATCTCACTCAGCCTCGAGGATGGCCCAAAAGAACGTCGTAGAAACGAGAAGCAACAGATGAACATGGATGAACCATCAGACGTTTCAAACAAATAAAGGAAACACCATGACCCAAACACTCCATTTATGGAACATATAATATATATATAGTTATAAATACGCCTGCATTGACCCACCAAATCACCCCATGGTTTGGCAACTATGGCAGTCCCAGGGTGTTCAGAAAAGCCACCAAAGCCACGAAAAGCCGACAGAAAATAACGAAAGCCACCAGAAGCCACGAAAAGCCAATGAAAGCCAGCCACAGCCACCAAAAGCCAACCAGAGCAACTGAAATCCACCCGAAGCCACGAAAAGCCAACAAAAGCCACCGAAACCCAACGAAAGCCAGCCAAAAGTCACCATAAACCACGCAAAAAAGAACACCACAAAAGCATACAAAAGCCGGCAGAAGTCACCAAGAGCCAACAGAAATCCCACAAAACCATGAAACAAATCGTTAAAACATCAAACAAAAAGGCGTTTAAAGAAAGTACTTGTTCCCCGGCCGAAACCTGGTTTTGTCCTTTCTGTATACTGCAGTACTAGATGGTTGGACCACCCCACCGATCAGCATTCATTCAGCCGTATAGCTCAAACACTGAGGCCAACGAACAGTCAGTCACTGAGGCACTTGATTGGCCATGTTGGGCCACCGGACATGGGCCTCAAGGGGATCTTCACCTTGTGGAGCCAACGAATTGATAGGCTGCGCTTGGGTTTGGAATGACTGGTGCGAAAACACTCTGGAATTGATCACTCGTATCCCAACAATGTGGCATGGACCGAGTTTTTGAAAAGGTTATCCAAGGAGACAAATTGTTTTTTTCTTGTGCCATGCATCCGTTACTGACATCTGCAAACAAAAATAAACAAAATGTTTTGGGACCAGGGCGTAGGATGGAAAATGGTTTCAGATTCGATGCTGGCGTGCTGCTGCAAAGAACCAAGTAGTTTTGGGAATTCTGATTAGAAGGAACTGCTTTAGAGCGCGACTGTTCGTCTGAAAACCATATTTCAACCTCATCAGCTGATGCACTGCCTGCGCCTTGGAAATTCTGGATCGAATCAAACTGCAAAATATTCATGCACAGTCAGGAACCACTACCAAAAATTGAAGAGGACGAGAGACCAAACATCCAGACTGTGAAGCCTCCATGCCCTATTTCAGACCCCCACTTGTTGGTGGCCCACCGAACATCGGATTCGTTGGTAACGGCTGACATCACACGCGACACGCGACACCCGACACCCGAGTCCAGATCCTCCACTCCCGCTTCCATCCGCTTCCCCGCCGCTGGACGCCGCTGGCACCTCGCAAGGAAGATGTGCCCGAGGCGCCTCTCAACCGATGAAGAGGGGCGAGCGAAGGGGGCGCCGGTGAGGTGCACATGAGGTCGGCGTCCGATGCGGTTTTTTCTTTTTCGAAGGGGGGTCGATTTCTCCTACCATCATGTACCGTACATGCATGTTTTTGGGGTTTTCTTGGGGAGATATCCCCTGACTAGTGATCAATATGGTAACGCCAATGGTCAACCAACCAAAGCCGCGAAAAAGCCACCAGGCCATCATCGGGTCCATATGTTTGCATCTAAACCACATGGGCGGTCACGACACGCATTGATCAAACTCTATATAATATACTCTAGTCCATCCACGTCACCGGCTCTTAATATTCCGATATATTCCGTTTTTGGAGGGGCCCTCGAAAGAAAGAAACGTGTGACAAAAGACCAGAGAAGGTCAGGATGTATAGGTGATGTTTGGCCGACCCAAGTATATGACGATGAACCTGAGCGTGAGCGGAGCGGGAGCTGTGGACGATGCCGTTTATCTGTCGCATTGACAAGAATTGCTAAAATTTGACATATGTTCACTTAACTTCTATATATATATATATACTCGTCGCTGGGCGTCGAAATTTCGTTTCGGGGGAAAGCGTTGTGGCCCGAGTTCGACTCCCCCTGCGTTTAAGCCCTTTGGATATCTTTAGATTCAGGCGCGGGCCCTCAAGAAGCGGAAAGACCCCACGCGCACGCGCCAGAGGAAACATGGTTTATGGAGGGTCCATGGGGCTGGGGTGCATTCTGCCCGGGTGCTTCGAAGTGTCGAGCGTTCCGGTCAGTCGGGATGTGTGCGGTGTGACGAGCCTGCCAGGGTCGCGTCAACACAACACGGGACGCCAATCCGCGTACTACCTGCTTCAGTTGCTGCGGTGATGTACACGACCTGTTGTTCTCGGCCATTTCTGACATTTGTTTCGTTTCCAGGTTTTCAGGTCGCCCTTCACTAGACTGGTATAGTGCATTAAATGATATTAAATGGGCTACTGCAGATCACCTGAACTTGCGCTCATCTGCGCTCTATTCTAAGTGAGTGTGTGCGTGTGTGTCTTTGTGTTTTTTGTGTCTTTCTGTCGGTCGGTCGGTCGGTCTGTATGTCTCTGTCTGTCTGTCTGTCTGTCTGTCTGTCCGTCGGTCGGTCGGTCTGTCTGTCTGTCTGTCTGTCTGTCTGCGAACCTCTTGTGGGGCACTAGCGCGTCTGATGCGTCGATCTACTGTACCCTGTACAATTCATTCATCGACCTCTTTGGGGGCCGGCAGGCGCTAGCCGGGCCCTTGCCCGGCCGCAGGCCCTACGCCCTACGCCGTGGGGGTTATACCTTCGGTATTTCAGGGGCTTACGCCAAACAGTTGGGCAGCAGGGTGTTCAGTGGCAGGAGGGGGAAGCAGGTGTAGTGTTTTTTGTTGGTGTTGTTAGAGACTTTTGGGGGAGAATAGCAGTAAGACGGGTCGTTTGTCATTGTCTTCTACAACCACAACCACAAGCACCCCCAGCGACGCCTCGCACTCTGCATCTCCCCACCATGTCCTTTTCTTCGTACTCTTCTTCCTTGCCTGGCCTGGTGGCCTGGTGCAGCCCCTTGTGTTTATCGTTTCCTCCATGTGCTGTAAATCGGTGTACTGTAACACCCACCACTGGAATGCCGCGCTTCCATCGGACCTCAGACTTCTCCGGTGGCAGAAGCACCGCGTCGGCCAGGTGGATATCTAACGCCTGCGGCCGTCCGAGCATCGGCGGTCCGTCTCAAGGGATCTTGCACCTGTGACTGGTGGAGGATGGTTCATACAAGCAAAAAGCACATCATATGATTGTCTTCCACAGACCCCCAAACCCCAAATTCTCCAAGGTTCCCTTTCGAAAAATCCCACATGACATGACACATGACATGACTCAGTCGTAAAACTATGTAAAACTGGTGCAAGGTATACCACCTTTAAACTTTAAACCATGTTTACTTTGAGGGTCAAGGTAGTTCCATCTTCGACGACCTCGTTTTTGGCGGAAGAACCGCGTGAACGAAGAACCGCTTTTCGACTCGTGAACGATCTGAAGGATCTGAAGGGCCACCGATCTCAGGAGCCGTGGGTCCGACGATGATTTGTTCCGCCATGTCGTGATCATATGGCTATTCAGTGATCCACCGTTCTTCCTGTCTTCTTCCTGTGTTCATGGCCACTTAGACTTGGACAAACAAAAGAACTGCCTGAGGCAAACCTGAGGCAACGCCAGGGGGATTTGGGTGATTTGGAAGTTCTTTTTTTGGCGGGGCGATTGCAAAACCAACGAACCGCTTCCTGGATTAGAAAGAACACTTAAGAAGAAACACACAACTTCTAGATTCTACATACTTAATCATATGTCAGATTGTGGAAGAACACCATGTGGTGTGTCACGGTTCTCTGTTGATATGAAACAATACAAAGGGACAACTCCCCTAACTAATCAATCATCACAATCACCATCAATGGCAGTGCCATCAAGAGCATCCTCGTCTGTATCCTCTTCATCCTGAACATGGGTGTGTATTGTAATTAACAGGGAGACCCCCTGTCCCTGGCTGGGTAAACTGGTCTATTTCCCGTTACCTGGAGGTCTCCCTATTTGAGCCACACACCCACACTTGCCATCATTTGCCTCATCAATTCTCGTTCAGGCAGCTCCCCCCCGTGACACAACTGTGAGCACCTCTGGCCGCTGCTTCACATGCACCGGGCTATCCTGAAGCACCAACCAATGATGGAGAAAAGGCATGCTTTGGAGTCGCTTCTTGGCGGTGAAGGGTGGAGTGGAAAGGAGGACATAGCATGAATCTATTCATTGGTGACTTTATAAAGGTGATTAAAGAATATTGAACGTGTACGATACGTGTGCAACCAGTCTCAACACAAATTGCTACGGGACTGATATATATATATATAATATAAATATGTATGTACGAGTACATTGCATTTGGAATACTGGCAGCAACAGTGTGATGGGGACGACCAACATGAACCAACAAACAAAAACAAAGCATCATCCCACATTCCACACAGAACAGAACCTGGAAACAACACTATAATATAATATTACATTATATTATATAGTCTGAATGAAAAACTTAAATACTGAGGACACCTGACATCTCTTGAATAGATCGGGGGAGGACGAGATCCAAACTCCGGGTACATTGCAAACTTGCGTCACGGACACTAAGTCTTCCCAAATTCTTCCCACAAGTCTCTTGGGTCTCTTGGGACCTGCTTGCAAGGGGAAGACTCTGGATACCTTTGGTCGGTCTCGCGATCCGGAGCAAGCGATTGGTGCTTCAGCCGGCGTCACAGACTTCAGCTGCATTGGTGCAAGCGATTGGCTCAGGTGGACCATCCATCAAACAAGCTTTGCATCTATCCAAGATCCACTTGGTTCGCTTGGTTGATTTCTTCAACTGTGAGCACAGCACCATTCTGGATGAATGGTTGCGAATGGTTGCGAATGGTCGCTGCTGCAGCACCTGCAAGATGCTTCTGCAGAGTGACGTCCCTTCAGAATCATGCTTTGACAGCCACGAAGTCCTCGACTTGACCATAGTCTAAATGTCCTTTCTGCAAAATGCTTTTGCAACAGGATCTTCCTGGCAGAGTGATGCTTCTCTCAAGCAGTTCTTCATTTCAAACACTGACCTGCATGCTCCGCAATGCTCCGCGTGGAAAAACAACACATCCAGTACACTTGAATCTTATTCGCCCAACATCGTCTCTGCCCGTCTTCAATCTGGGCAACCCAAACATCGGGTGGTTCATGCCCGCGTGGTGGGCATCGTTGTTGGGCCAATCTCAAGTCTAACAAACCAAGTTTTGCACTCTGCATCTCTGGCTGAAGAAGCACAGTCATTGGCAAGAAATTCCCAGAAACGAGTTTCTCCTTTTCGAAGACTTGGTCGATCTACATTCCCATGTCTTCGCCCCTGAGTTCCGTGTTCTTCGGCCATACTCCTGGGCAAGTGGAGATTCGACGCCAGGGACGCCCATCACTCGACGCGACGTGAGGCGACGCCCAGGACCGACTCGAAGAGTGCCCAAGCCCACCCGTCCTCCTCCAAGCTTAGGCGCTCGTAGCCAAGCCTCGTGACAGCATAGACATGCATAAACCAAAGCAGGCGCTGCGGATTCAACTGAAAACACACGTGCAAATTTGGGCGGTTGTCAAACCATTCATCAAAAGCATGTTCTATTTTTTTCCCAGCAAGAGGTTGTCTTAGCTGGATTTGGGCGGTTTAGGGGCTGAGAAAGAAGCTGGTCAGCGAACAAGGAGGCTTTTCTGTGATAGAATCTCCATGACCTCTTCCCGTCTACCTGGCCAAATGTTCGATTCAATTCTTCTGCGGAGAGGATGAAAGCATGTGAAAACCACTGAGGCCAAACGCCTAAACTCCGGCTCAAGTCAACAGGAAAAGGTCACACTCGCACCTCTTCAAGACTTGCCTCAAGCACTAAGGGATTGTTTTGATGCATCCTGTTCAGCAATTATACAGCATCCGCACATGGAATGATTTATCATGACCCTCTCAAGTGTCTGATATTTTGCTCAAACACCATCTTCAATCCAATTCTAAAACATGGCACGTGTCTCGCAAATGGACTTGTAGTCCCCCGTGTAGCACAATTGGCTCTCGGCTGTCATATCATCTGCAAGTGTGATGATCAAGATCTTGGCGCCTTTGACAAATTGTGTTGGCACGTCTTCTTTCGTTCTAATGAGCAATATAGTAATGTAATCTCTGAACCTCCCACCTTCCATTGCATCTGGAGCCTTCAACAATGCTTTAGGCATCACCACATCAAGTCCAACGTTCATAGCAGCTATTCCTTCCGCCTTCACTTTCATGGAATACAGTAGGAACCACTCGCGATCACGAGAACAGCATAGTGTCAAAATACCATGTTCAGTCCTTCCAACTCCTCTGTTCTGAGCTTTTATCACTGTCCACTGACTCGTCATTGTCTGATTCCAGCCCTGGATGTGCTTTTCGTTATTCAGGGACCTGCAGCTTCGTTCGACCTTTGCCAGGCCAATCGCCACCAATGCCTGGTGTGTACTGACTTTCATATCATCTCCAATCAAAGCCCTGCGACAAATATAAGGTTCCCACGCAACCATCCGACTGTCAGTTCAACCCTCGGATCTGAATCTTCAAGGTACCCTTCATCTTCTCTCTCAATCTGCCTGAAAGTATGGAACAATCTGGATGTTCAGCTTCAGCTCCCAAATCATTTTTTTGTCAAGGCAATAGCAGCTATTCAATAGCTGTGTTGTCTGTACCATAGTGGGATCGGCCACAGCATGTACGCAACAGGTCACTAGTCCAATCAGATTTCCTCAAAGCACCAAGCATATATGTATGCGTTGAAACAACAAATTAGACCAGCTCAGGTGGTTTATCGTCAACCAGAATCGGATTCATGGCAACACCTACAATCTTTGTACGAGACAGCCATAAAGCACGTCGTGTGGTTGATTGTTCCGCATCAACCTCCCCTATTTACCAATGACTATTGACTAATTATTGACTATAAGACTATAAGTGCTTCCATTTCCTGAGGACACTGCTCTTATTCTCTGAAACTCTAATGGTCCCAGTTGACGGTTCACCTGTACGCGGCCATACCTTCTCTGGCAGTAAACTCTGACTGAAGCTTCTGAACGTCCAAGATTGGTACAGGTTTGTTGGTACCTCTGCTCGCTACACGGTTCAGAATGGAGTCTGATCACCACCCGTGAACATTCGATCTGCCAAGTTTAATTGAACGTGAAATATAATAAATGACCCAGCCACAAGCTGATGCGGACGAGGCCCTGCTGCATGTTGGTAAAATTCGGAAGAAATAGGCAGAAGTAGGTATGTCACGGCATATCGGCATCGCACAGGTTGGTGTACCCTCAAAAGTGACTCGCAGGTTCATCTGTTAAGCCCACAAAACCTAAGCTTAAACATTGCAACATCTTAAGAAAGAAACCAGTTTGACAACAAACAAGCAACAAATAGGACAAAAGCCAACAGCGAGCAATCGCCAACACCAAAACACACAAACAAACAGACAAACGAAAACAACCAACCAACCACCCGACCAGACAAGACGAGACGAGACCAAAACAAACAAACAAACAAGACAACATCAAAGACAACACAACTCAAGGAAAGGACATCAACACAAGACAAGAACATAGCACTACCATTGCCACCACCACCACCAACGACCCCCATATCCGGAAACACCGGCAAACCTGAGCAGTGTGTCTCCAGGAGCAAAAGCGTTATGCAAAACTTTACCAAATCAATGGGTCAGCTGGACTTCCAAGGGTTTTTGTTCCAAGTTCTCCTCGTTGGCATCGAGTTTGAGAGCGGTTTCTTGTTGAAGGACCTGCGGCTCTGGTTTTGAACCAGCCAAAAGAACAACACCTGACCGAAAAGGATCAATGATGATCAATGGACCCCGACTCATGTTGTTCTTCTCATGCAATAGCTAGCACGAATGAACTAGTGCGACAAGCAAACATGACAAGCGCTTCAGCAAATGGATCAAACATGTACTTATTAAACAATTCAATACTTCCAGTGTCCTGAAAAAAATGTTGGGAACACCACACCGAAGTTTTCAGCAAACCTTCCTAGTCCCGAAAAAAGGGCTCATCTGATATAGTGCAAAAAGGTCTCATCTCCACCCAGTACCGACCACTCGGTACTCGCGGTTCGTCCTCTCGCGCCTGTTGCCCGACAACTCGCCCCAGCCCTTGACGTCCATCGGAGACATCTGGGACGACCGCGGAGGAGACGGGCCGCATGAAATCATGCGGAGCCCGACCATGCAGGTTTTGGAAGAGGACAGCTGGTTTTGAAGTGGGAATGGATCGAACATGGAACACCTGCTTCGCCCCGACTCCGGCGGTCTAGGCGTTGACCCACGACCTGACCTACTCTTGATATGCTTGATAGATCTTTGATAGTCTGTATTGGATCTTGAGGTCGTCGAACCCACTGTCTGCCCATTTGTTTACGGGCCACACCTCTAAGAAGCCTCCGCAAACATTGGGACGGCTATTTCTCGTCGGTTTGGCTACCTTCAAGGAATCTCACAAGGAGAAGTTTGATGAGTTCAATAAAGCAGTGAGAGAGTGCACCATCAGGTGGTTGAGTTCAAGATTAGTCGAATGGATTCGAATGGTCTCTGAAGCCAATACAGTACTTACTGTGAACATCACAGTGATCAGCGGTTCATGTATGATTACCCAATTCACTCGTTCGTCCGGAAGGCGGGCCAGAAGTGATGAGCTGATCAGTAGAATCTGCGACACAGTGGAGGAACCTCCTTCCAAGAGCAGCTTCTGTTGTGTGATCTTCGTCGACACACCCGTAGATTCTGCGACGCAGTGATAAAGCCTGTTGAATCTGGCACAAGTTGTGAATTCTGTGCGTGTGTCTAAACAAGGATGACAACCTGACGTTACAAAAGCTCGAAATTATCATCAAGCAGCACCTGTGATTGTTGATTGTCATTTGCGGGTGAGAAGCCTGCTTCGGCAGGAACATCAACAAAATTAATTTGGTGATGAACGCTCGAAACACACTGCTATAGTCGTGACCAACACCTTACACTTTATACACTATAGGACATACTTAGGACCAAACTCAGTTTGGTATCCAGAATATTGTCTTCCTCTTGACGACCATCTACAAGCCCATGTGATGTCAACGGGATGGCTGGCCTCGTGGCCTGAAGGTCTCAAGGAGAAACCCATGGCCAGCAGCGCGACTAAGACTGGCAAATACCTCGGTGTGGATTTCCATGAAATCGAGATTCGAACAAGATGTACTGCGAAGACATGGATTTTTTTAGGTCGGTTCTTCAAAATTTGTAGGTCGGCTTTGGCCCTTAAAGCCTTTGATGTGCGGAGTCAAAAAGGTCAGTGTGGGATCAAGGTGAGAACCTTGAAGGTGAGATTGGGTGCGGGTGTTTTTTGTTTCACACGACCCATAGCAACCCCAAAATTCTTAAGGTTCTAAGGTGATAAAGGAGCGAGTGATGCACAACTTCGTTGTGTTCATAGGACCATGTTCTTTCAAATATTGTCCACATACCAGTAATATATATATATACCAGTAATATGTTTTTGTAGAAGTGGTAGCCAGACTGTCCCAGTGGGACAGGAGCCGCCATGTCTCCGGATATAGTTTAACATACAATAATACGGTAATATGGAGTTCTTTTCATTTAATAACTATATCTCATATCAAATACCTTTGACCGAAACTTGATGAGGATTTCGTCATGCGCTGGAACTCTCCAGAATTCTCACAAACGAGCAGAGTTCCAATGCTTTGTAGAACGAACAAGGTGTTACACAGCTGCCCTATGCCCGGGAGCCATGGATTGTAGCGTGAAGTACCCGCTTCTCAAGGATACACACAGTTTGCAATTTCTACCTGCTTTTCGTGTCACGTGGAGGAAAAAACTGATATATCATGATATATCCTGATCCTGAGAGAGCCAAGAGAAACCCCATAATTACCGGGTTTGGTCTGAACAGGAGCTTGGTCCAACAGCACATGTTTTTTTCTGCGAACAAGACCCATGTGTGGCGACGATTCGATCATCCCGCCAGCCACTGTCACCTGTCTGCCTTTGAGCCGTCAAACAACCAGCCCAGCCAAAGGTCAGACTTGATCATGAGAATATACAAGTTTTTTGTTGCTCTTTCAGAGACCTATCGCACACAAAGCAAAAAGATTTTCCAAAAGCTCTCTTAGCCTGCACTACAAGTCTCTTGGAAGCGTCACCTCATCTTGGACGAACTGGGTGGGTGTGATGCAACCAACTGGAACGTGCTTCTGGAAATTTGCACATGGTGAATCAATCATTCCTGAAGTTCATACCGGTGTAAGGACCATCCCGGAGAAGAGAGAGGCTTCCTCACACAGCAAGAGCAAGCCTCACCCCACGGCCATGCTTTCTGGCCAGTAGTCGTGAGTTGCCAGAGTTCGCCCACCTCAACAAACATGATCAGCTCTCGAAAGCTCCACAGCCACTGCTCTTCACACCTCCGCGTCAATGAACACTTAGGTGCACGTCCGTGAACCGGTGTGCCAGCGCGTGTGCCGTGAATCGCAGTCGTGGCGTCTCTGACGTTCCTCTTGTTTCGCGTCACTCTTCCTAAGGGCCACAAATCGCTCAGGAGTGAGGAGCCTGGCAGCCATGCAAATCGCTGTCTGCGCGACACGACAAGTCAAAGAAATGACGATCCAATACACCCTACGCTTCGCCGTTCAAATAACCTTTTGTCCTGTCGCCACAGTCCCGTTTTGTGCAGAATAATTCTAAACAAGCAGCCCAATCATCCAAATTAGCTGCTAGGAATTGTCTTGCTATCATTGTGTTGTGTCACAGAATAAGGATGATGAACCTCTCAAAACAGTGTTAGTCGCTTTTTTGTTGCCTGGCCATGTGTGGATCATATATCCACATATCTCCCATTGAGGCTCCTCACCCCAGTAGTAGCGTGACCACCATGGCAGACTGCGCAGCGTCCAACTGCGCGGGGACGCGCCCGGTACGTGGGGACGACCGGGGACGATGTCCCACACTGGAAGGCTGGAAAGACCTTGGAAGCGACCAGTTTGGAGATTGGGAGCTGGAGCGCCAGTATGCGCCAGTGCAAGATGAAGAGCATCTTTCTGGAGCACTATAGGACACCCTAAAGAGGATTTTAACCACTCCCAACAAAAAAAGCATCTCCCATGTTTTCTGACATCCTAAAATTGTCAGTTATATAATGTACGGGTCCTTTGCAGGTTAGCACAACCATGGCGTCAAAACCTGTTCCTTCAACTTTCCAAAAATGAACAGAATTGTATTGTGGGGATTGAGCTAGAACATACTTTTATATACCTCTCAACGTAGCAATCCATAGAATGTTGAGAGATAAGCCAAAATCTCATCGACTTTATCGAAACATATATATATATGTATCGCACTGGAATCCAGCAAACGCGCTGTGGTAAACAACTTGTTCAACTTATCTATACCGATCCTCCTCCCGGAACAATTCTACTATATACACAAATACAGGACGTTTTATTTGTGGGGAGTTATCCAATACACTTAATTACATATGATCTGGCTTTCCCAATCATCTCCACCTACCCCTAAAAACCGGGACGGAACCCTTACTCCCAAACCACAGACCTCAGTGATCTTCTCTCTGGCCAACGATGCCAGGCCTTTTGAGATCAGTTCACTGTGCCAGGTGTCAGATTGATGCAAAAACCATGCCGACGTGTCCACTTCCCTTGGAGTTTCTCCCTTGGAGGTCCCTTCGCAATAAACTATACCAGGCTGAGCCATCTACTCAACATGGGCTTCTGGCATCTACTTACTCTATATAGACTCTAGTGATGCATCTGCTGGTCGTTCTTATAGCGCAACAAGTACAAGTACATGGGCGAAAACTGGAACTCAACTTTACCAGAGAGTGCAATCACAAGAACTATATATATATATATAAGTATGTTGTCCCTGGGTACACATTATCTCAAAAAAACGGAACATGGTGTGCTAAAGGATTGTCCACCCAAACACTGCCGCTGATAAACCATGATCCCCAAATCCACTCTGGTCGGAAACCCAAAAATCACCCATTGACGAAAAAGATTCCACTACTTTTAGGACGCGAAGCTGGCTGGAGTTGGACAGTCCCACCTCGTGTCCCCAGAGGTAGAAGGCAGTGCCACATGGCAGTGCCAAAGCCCCCAGGAAGGCCGTGAGATTGTCGATGAGATGCACATAAGGCCAGCTGTAAGGCACCTGGTCTGGATGTCGGCCGCCAAATATGTTGGGCCAGTGTCCTTTTGAAACAAGTTGGGCCAGTTGAAGGAATCACGTGTCTACCGTCCCTCTAATATCCTCTAACAATAATGGATTAAGCGGTATAAGTGCCTCAATAAGACTGGTGTGTGAGCAATATCACACCTGTCCAAGGACTAGCACATTCGACCCAAGCCGAGGGTGCAAGAGAGAGCATGAGTGGACCATGCAACATAGGCCAAAACACGAGTAAGAGGCCATCTGTGAGTGACCAGCGAAGACTCTATTTCAACAAGCTGACAAAACCCTGACAAGACCATGTTCACCAACAAAGAAGTTGTTTATAACCAGAAGTAACAATTATTTCTGCTGAGATCATTCCTTTCTGTACATACAGCAAACACATCGACAAATAGCGAACAACTTCAATCTGTCGAGACATTAATGTTGACTTTGTGTCAAGTCTCGACATGAAACCAAATAGACACGTAGCTAACAACACGTTCATCACCAAACCAACAAAAACTGACCCGCGATCTCTGTTGGATGGTTGACTGCAATTTCTTTTTAAAAAAGTCTTATAGAATTTTGCAGTATAATTCAGTATAATCCAAACTACCAGGACCCTCTCTACTAATAGCCTCTTAGCTGTGATTGGGGGTGTCCATTAACCACCCCTTGGGGGTGCTGGTAAAGGCCGTGTCCCTCCCATTTCCAGGCAAAATGGAGGAGTGAGGACAGGACCCGCAGGACGCGGCTGGACCGGGTGCCCCGACGCTCATGGCGATGAGGACCATAGTGGCCACCCAAGCCACTTGCATGGCAGGCCTGGATGGTGAGAGTGACAAACAGCCCACGGGTGAAGTGATCCGCACTGTGCTTCATGTACTGGAGTTCTTTCTCCAACAAGAACCCTGCTGGGGAGTGGACGAAACACCACTACTATGTCACTATGTCCATTCATTTCTGTTCTCTGCATCTCCCAGGTGTCGGGCTGTACCAAACTCACACCACTGGCGAGAGCGTGCACGTGTTGCTGTCTGCCCTCGGAGTGCATGGAGCCTGAGTCCTAAAGCAATACGTACGAGTGTGTGCCACCAATAGCCCACCTTACATGCCGAATAGAACCAGGCAGAACAACCCAGTTCTTTCCCCGATGGTCTAAGTCCTGTCGTATCAGCTCAGCTAGAGAATAAGGTACCTCCAGGGCAATGTTCCACGTCGAACGAGAGCAGTGGTTTCACCCACCGGAAGATCATGGGTCCGGAAGGTCACTCAGATCTTCCAAGGACTTTTCTCCAACATCTACACACCGACGACGACTCTCGAAGAATACATATTACTATCATGCAGTAACACAAACAAACAGTGCGCCTGCCAGCGACCGCCTCTGGCGCCCAGGTCACCTGGTGAAAGGGCTCTGTGGCTCCAAGGAACACAGAAAACATGGAGGAATGGCGTCCCGGACGGAGGACGGAAGACCTCTGATTCACTAACATGGACATCGAAACTGGTCCCTTGGAGAACAAATTTCCTCCAACATCCACAAACACTCATCTGGTGTGTTTGTGGAAGTGTAATGGTTCATGTTCTGAAACATGACATGCTCCCAGGACCACCTGAACACTTAGGTGTAACACCTTTCTGTGAAGGATTATCCAAATCAAGAGGATCAAATGTGTTGCACTCCAAACAACCTGATGGATCCTGATGGCCTGGTGTTCTCATCACCGATTGAGAGAGGGATTCCCGATTCCGGATATGCATTGGATGCATCCGAACATTTACTCTTGATGGTCCAACATCTCTGCATCAGCAATGTGAAGTCGATATACGCTATATCAGATATGCCATAAAGGCAAACCCCATATGGAGCTGACAGTGGAAATATCAGCAACCAGATATATAAAACAAACAACATAAATAAATAAATAAACATCAATTATCCACTTCAACACAACATGTTTCATAATCATGTCATTTCCATGGTCAATTATGGTCAATAAATGAAAACAAATAAACAAACACATGGTGCCCTATGGATCCACATACCTTCTGAGAAGGTATGTGGATCCATAGGGGTGGATCTTTGTCTTACCTTTTCACCTGTAGATTTCAACCTCATCCACTTCCACACACTGCCCAGGCTGCCGCACGAGGCACCCCAAGAAGGCCTGGTCGTCGCGAGCGTCATGGGAACGAAACAAGGCTCTGGTAGTCGCTCCCCTTCCACCAAATCAGAACACAAGTCTTCAAGGGAACCTCAGCAGCTCAGCAAATGCTCCGAGGGGGGAGAGAATCCGGCCTGAAACAAGATCGACTTCCACAGCGACGGAGCTCTCTTTCCCAAGTCGCACGGAGCACGTTCCATTCTGAAGTTGCTCGGCTTCAGTTCCACCACGTCGTTCCGCTTGGTCTCCGCCGGTTCTCCGGTTCCCACCTTCCCCGTCGCTTGCCCATCTTCTGCCGCAAGGCGCACGGTGCACGGTGCTGGCGCAAGGCGTGCAGCGGCGCCTTGAGAAGCACGTCATAGGACCAGCGCCAAGGGGTTCGATCCCCGGCGGCCTTGGTCGAGCGGTGTGTTTTTCCAGGCGGACGGGAGGGGCGGTCGTAACGAATCCCAACATAGGGGTAGAACGTGGTGAAACACGCATGGAGATGGCCATCCATAGGTTCCAACTGTTTGGGACATGTTGGAAATAATGGACATCACTTCAGACTCATGCATGGGGCACAAAACCAACCCATCGGCAACTCCAAGAGAAAGCGAGTCCCCTTTTCAGCCCACCCCATATATAGACTATGTATGGCTACTGTATTGTGACTCAACCAAATTGTTGGATTGCTCAAGACCAAGGACGCAATATGGTTTCATAATAGTTTCATTATATTTCTTCAATTCTTCCAATACAGTACTGGGCCTCCCAAAAGCCTTGTTCGTTGTACTATGCGGCCGAGTTTGGAATTTCATGCCCAAAGAGAACTCCCATCAGCTCTGGACAAATCCTTCCGGATGGTAAACTACCGTGATCTGGCAGTGTTGGGGAAAATCTGTCAATCTCTAAATCAGTCAATCTAAAATCAGTGTTCCAGAACGCTCATGCTCTGGCTTGAAGAGAAAATTGTGATTGGGAAGAGTCACATCATCCCCATCCTCCATCGGTGTCAGCCTCAAAGCCTGATTGAATCTATATACTGTAATTAATCTTGCCAATCTCACCCTTCAATTCTTGCCAATCAAACTGCCACGGTGAGTGGCTCCGGTGAGTGGCTCATGAGATCCATAGGCTGTACCCAAACCAAGCCCGATGAAGGTCCTGAAGTTCCATGACGGCCGCAAGCTCAACGATGCTCGGTTACCCCTGTGAGGCTGCAAGTCAACAAGTCAGCCTCTTTCTCATCACCGGCAAAGCTCAAACGACAACTTGAGGAAGAAGATCTTAGAATCTACAGGTCAGCCACATCGGATCTTCTTCCAATGTGATAAGTGCACTCAGTGCACTCTTCTGCAAACAAAATATAACAATAAACAAAGTTATGGAAAATGGTCATGGAGAAAAACATACAAACAAACAACGTTTTCCACTTCCATGACTATTTCAGAGAGTAATGAACATCATTCAAAGCAATCATGAGCTTTTTCATCGACGGGTCAGCCGACTCGGCCGACTTCTTCCCAGCGGCCCGGGAAGAAACCACCGATATACCGATGTGATGCTTCATGGATTTGTTCCAGTAACTTCTCAAAGTGGCATGGAGTCCTCAAACTTCTTAAGAGTTCCCCTCGTTTGTTGTGTCCTGTCGTGAGTTCCTCACACTGCCGGACTCGAACGGTACGGACAGGCGGTGGTGTCCGCCGCACGACCGCGCGATTCAGCTGGTCCGACTCGAAGGCGTTCCCGTCTGGAGATGAAAAGCCAAGATGCTGGTTAACAGGGAATCAACCATGGTTAAGGGTTAAGGAAGAAGTCATTTAAGATAAACTAAATGCATGTTGGCAGTCTTGAGCTTCTCAATCCACTTCCACATTCAACGGCTGGCATGCTCAAGCATCGACTTCCCGGCGGATTTCGGGCGTCGACTTCCGGGCGGATTTCGTGTGTTCAAACATTAGAACCCCTCCCCAAAAAAGTCTGAGAGCGACCATTCCCAGGCATTGTGATGGAAAAGTATTGGAAAAGTAAAAGAAGCGTCCTTTAAAAAAGAACCAACACTATTCCGACATATTCCGACTATTCCTCAGAAACATCACATCAACCACCAAGGCTTCACATTCCGCAGCCACCGCAGCCACCGCAGCCAACCCGCTCCACCGCTCCGCTGGTGCCCCGGGCAAAGCACGCGGAGAGGCGGCCGGCGGTGAAGGGCCCACAAAGCTGACAGGCCTCGAGGAACGGCGTTCGAGGCGAATGGCGGAGAATTCACATTGATCTCTTATGACTTGAGTGGGAGGGGGTGGACGAAAGGTAGGGAACACTCAGTTCAACTGGCATGACAAGAATGCATGCTGCATTGAAACATTTGCGCATGCCAAGGGCAGTTGGCGAGGTGACCGCGCCGGGCATCTAATTCTTATGAAAAGAATGCCTCTTAGATGATTTGAGGTTTGTATAGGGTTTTGGTGAAGAATCTGTGCAGGCTCTGGCGGTTCAAACGAAAGCCCAGCCCCTCCCCCTTAGATTCTTCTTGGTTTTCTTCTTCACAGCGGCGAGAGGGCGCGGCGAGATCGATGGCAAACAAATGCGAGAGTAGATGGTACTGAGGGTCACTTGATGTCCAATCGTGGCGACGCATGGGTTGTACATGCCCAAGACTCTTCATGTGCATCTGGCATGTCATTAAAGGCAAAGTACCCTCACCTGTTTTAATTTTGCAAATCTTTCAAGCAGCCCAACTGTAAGCCCATTCGTCCATCCAACACGTTCTGCACATCAATGGCCTGTACGCGCAAGCAAATCTGCGGTAAGGACTGCTCCAAGAGCGCCAACTCCTTGGAAGGCCTCACGACATGCCGGGCTGCCTTGGAAGTCGGAACTAGTCCAGCGTGGTCTCTGAGTCTTTTTGGTTTCTTCATGTTTCTTCGGTGGTTTTCAGGTTGTCAGTGGGAAGCCCCTCACTCCTGCAACAGGTTACAAGATCACTGGAACTTAGACACACGGCACCGCGCAGTTCCTGGTGGAAACGGATTTTTGCTCGCCCAGTTGAGCTGGAAGATGGACATGAACATGAAGAAGAACATGACCCATCATGGGAGGACTTCCGGATCGAGACGACACAAAAAAACACCAGGTGAGGGACATCCACTGTATAGGTGGCAAAGGTTTCGGCCTCCGGTCGTCTCCGGGATAGGTGAGGACCACAATGAACATGCGACACGTTAACAACCACAAGTCGACATAGACCTTCTCCCCTTCGCCCCGCGAGACGTGGGTGTCCGTTTTTCGTTGCAGTCTGTCAAGAGTCCATGTAGAAAGAAACCTGAGAGGTATTAACACACACATATACTGTACACAAATGGAACAAGCCCCACTAAGAAGTACACACATACTCATCATGAATCACGGATTCATCATGGTTCATCATCCCTCTGAAATGGCCCCTATCTACGACATCACGCCTCCTGTGGGCCATGGGTTGTCTAAAGGAGATCCCTAAGAAGTGTGGGGTTGTCCAGCTAGGGAACCTCTCAATGGATGGTCCCATTCCAGGTCTGTCTTCTCAAGTTGAGAGGATTGGTTGTAACTCAGCTTGTCAAGAACAAATCCATCCTGGACCATCCTAAGTTTATATAGGGCCGGACCCTCAAAAGAATACAGGGGTCCGAGCCTTCAAATCCCTATGGTTCTGAGGGAACATCTGGGTTTTTTGGAACGTCTGGGAAGAACCAATTCCATCCTGGACCATCCCAACTTCTGAATCCAACTGCACCAGGATGGTAGCACTGCACTACTGCATCCACTTGGAAGAACGTCTCTGGGGCACCCCTGCACTGCTGCATCCAACCAGGAGAGCCCAGACACCCCGGCATAGCCCAAGCGTTCGGCAAAGCAGAAGCGCCTGGCGTTCAGCTTGGCGGGCACGGAGAAGACTCATTCCAGGTTCATTCATACCATCAAACTGTATAGCTTAGTGGCTGAGTAGGGAATGAGGGGTGTCATCCTCCCCCACTGTAGATACAGTACAATTCGGATGCAGCCACCCTCATTCCTTGCTTGAAAGTCGCACCAGTCAACACCTTGTCAAACATCCACCATTCACCTCCACGTTCTTCGGATCCTCAGCCCTGCTCCGCTCCACTCCGCCCCACGGGGAGGACCCCCCATGCTCGTCCGGCCCATCGACCGAGCGGCGTCGTCACGGAGATGGGATGCGCTGCCAGCAAGGGGCTCACGGTACACGCCTCCGCGAGACCATGGAACGACGGGAACGGTCCACACCGATCGGCGAAGCGAAGCGACCCCGGTGCTGTCCGGTCAGTCCTGCTGCGTTCTTGGGGGGGGCGTGCGGTCCGTGTTAAGAACAGGGAGAGTCACTTGTCAAGTGAGGTCGAAACGAACCCAGATTTGTTCTGCACTCATTCGAGGCTGGGAACTTACTCTGCCGCTTATCATCTTCATGTGCTCATCTTTGGTTTACAAGAATCAGTCATGAGTCATGACCATCCGGAAGAGTTCAGGACTTTACGGTGACTCAATATTGTTATTATTGTTCATTTGTGGTCAAACCTGGCAGTATACCTTATATATAGTTATATATATACACACGTAATTTCTCTGTGTGTGTGTGCTGCGGGGAAACGCAATCACCCCATGCTTGCACCATGTTTTTGTATAGATACCTTCTTTCGTGAAGGTGCACTTGTTTACAGAAGCCGTGGAGGAGTGCCGGAACCGAGTCCCCAATTTGGCTCCAGGGACGGATGACCCCGGGACCTTGAGCGCCTTCCGGGACTTCCAAACAGTCTGCGCTGTCAGAAATCGCTCGCTGTCAAAGCATCCCTTGGAACGATGGATCCTAACATCGTGAAGTTTTGAGAAAGGACAAAGCTTACGTGCAAACACGGTTGACGCGAAAAAAGAGTTATATAATTGGTTGCAATTCACTCTTTTGGAGGGATGAGAATCACAAAGAACTCTCGTGAAAACAGTCCAGCTGGAGAAAATTATTGATAGTGCAGCTGCTCTGGCGAAGAGCCCAGCTAGGTCATACCACCGTTGTGGACCCTTTAAGGATCCAACATGATGTACTGTTGACAGTTGATGTATTGACATGTATCAACCCCCCCATCCAGTCCATCTCCAAGAGTCAAGTCAATGACTGAAACAGTCTCTGGAACGAACCCTCCACTCGATCCGAGTTCGGGCTCTCAGCAGAGAAACCCGGACCGTCACGTCCGGGTTTCTCTCGGTGCACCGAGTGGACAGCGGCACGTGCCTTCGGAGACTTCCAGCCATGTTTCCCAATCAATGGCTCGGCACCTGAGCCGTCGCACCAGCTGAAAGAGATGGGGTCAGAGCACCAGCGGTCAGCGAGCGATTTGTGGCAGTTCAGTTCAGCAAGGGACGATCTGGACCGTTGGAAGCAGGGAGAACCTTGGGCTTGTAAGTACTTCCTTGTCCGCTTGGACACTCTGAGATTGCTGTGCCAAATGGCATTCATTTCTCAGCCAGCAAAGTGTTTGGCTGTGGGAAGGGCAGGAAGGCCAATCCGGTGGCCATGTGTATAAAATTAATCCCCAACAAAAGCATGAGTTCTCCGGAAACCTTATGAAACATGTCTTGCACCTTGTTTCTAGTCACTATATATACAGGACCAACATCATGACACCTGATCCAACGGCAGGCACATCGAGAGATTGGGCTCCTCATTGCAAGAGTGATGCAACTTCGCAAGTTCTGATGCAGGACATCCTCGTTGAATAGATGCCCTTGGGCGCAGGCTAGTTTGATTGATTGAGCGCAACAACCCCAACTGATGAGCTTCATCTAAGTAAGCATGCTTGCAAAGTGTCAATCCGCATTCTCCGCCAGTTTCCGGCAGAAGTCCACTCAAAGGAAGCGAAGAGATCAGCCGAAACCGAGTTTAGGACCAATCTAATCATGTGCGGACACATGTTTGGCATCCATTAATTGCTTCTGCAAGAAGCTAGTAGTAACAAGTGCATCGCTACTAGTAACAAGTGCATTACTACTGCAAGAAGCTATCAGTAGCTATTTGCTAGAGAAACAGATTCACTAAAGCCCCTGGTCAGCTTCCTAGATGGTTTGCCGTCTACACGAGGCTCAGCACGTCCAATCAAGAATGAGATGAAGTGCCGTTTGAAAGTGCCAACGACCAAATGTGTGAAGCTAGATGCCTCCACTCTGGAGTGTTCATGAAGCGATCAAGCGCTTGCGCACCTGGTACTTTCCCCAAGCAGGCTCCAAAACTTCACCCTCCCCAAGCACCGGGCCTGAGCGCCTCGCCACCTTCTTGGGCAGCCTCGCCCTCCTCGGCCCCCGGGCTGACCATGGAATCTAACGAGTTCGGCCGGTACCTGCCGCAGGCACCGCATTGGTCGGGTGGGTGGAGGGTATAAAGCTATTGATTGATTGTTCATCCTCATTGTCTCCTTGTTTTTAGGCCTTTCGTTCCTTAATGAACATTCATAAATGCTGGCAGCGAGAACATGCTGCGTTCGTAACCAGCAAATACCTGCAAATTCCAAGTCCTATACTTGGCTGTAAAGGCCATCAACTCTGCCAAGTCACAGCACATGCGCACCGGAAATGGTCCCACTATGTCCCACTTGTGAAACTTGTGAACTCTGGCGATAAGTCAATGCAAACCTCCAATCCCCAACCATCTATGAAAGGAATAGGATATGCTTAAATTGACCCATGAAACATCCGAAAACCACCCCCCGTAATGTAGGTAAATATATGGCCTGACACGTACCTAGAACCTGAATGACCTCTATTTCGGACCACCAACCACCCAAAATAGGATCCTTTCCTACCAAAACAGAGGTCCAACGTCAACGGGTTCCAGCTACACCTATTCATCTGCTCCTTCCCATCCCCCCCCCTCAAGCCGTCGACCCCGCCTCAAGCCGCTGGTGGACCGGTGGATCTCCGAAGAGGTGCTGGGCCTGGGAATGCTCGAGCCGAGAGGTGCTCCGCGTTGCGGCGTGCTCGCTCCGCGTGCTCAGCTTGGTTTACACAGGCAAGTGTCGGACAGCTTGTAAACACGTCCGAGTTCTATGTACAGCTTGTGGTTGTACGTCCGTAATTACTCGTAATTACTTTAAGTTAATGGGACATGTTCTTTGCTGAGCTTCAAATCGCTTTGCAACTCAAAGAGTCTTGTCCCCCATCTTGGTTCTGGTGTTTGAGGGCCAGGTGAAGATTCCGATGAAGCGAGCATTGACGCAGTCACGGTCCTCCATGGACACCATGGAGTACGTGTTGTTTTCAAGTCGGCAGACTGGCGGGTCACCATTTCAGGAAGTGCGATTTCACAAAGGCCAAATGGTGTTGGTTAGTTCTTTTTTTAATGAAGACTTCTGTTTAGTTCAAAAACATCAAAAGTCATTGTTGAGAGCTATGAGCTATCTCACAAATACTGTATGGAGAGTGGAAGGAAGCAAGTAGATTGCTGGCACGATCATTCACAGGCAGGTGGTGACCAGCTTCGAGTCCATGCGCCGCACGAGGTGGATTCGAGTCCAAGTCGCTGGTGTGGTAGTCTGGGCTGCCATGGCCCAGCTGACCAATGTCGGTGCCTGGCCCAGCGCTCCGCACGATGGAGCGGAGCTGGGCTCCACTCGTGTGAAAGCGTCGAGGTGCGGGGAGAATGGGATTGGGAGGATCTCAATATATAACCTATAGCAATACAATACTATACAAAATATGTTCATCTCAATATATATATATATAATATATAATTATCTATATTCTATATCAGAACTAATATCATATACTATCATGCAAATAATTACATTCACTTATATACTTATATACGAAATTTTCTATGATCATCAATTCTATGCCCATCAAATTCAACCATCCATCCTCGGCTGGAAACAAAAACAAAAATAACATCGCGCTCGCTCCCGGCCGGGTGCCCGCACCAAGGCTCGCCGCCCCGCTCCTTACAACTGCCATGGTGCTCCAGCTCTTCGATCATCGCCTGCGATGTGTGCGCGCTTGTTGCGCAGATCTGCGCGGATCTGGGCGGTGCGGTTTGTGTGGCCAAGGGTTTTGTGGAAGTTGGAAGGATTTTGTGGAAGAACAAGCAATTCAAGCACAAGGAGCCTGAAAAGTGCATGCATCTCATATAGGGAGACCCATCAATATCCATCAACCCCACTGGGTGTCCAATGGACAAGCGGGTCTTTGGTGGTCTCGGACCCGATCGAATGCACTGCTCACTTGACCGGGCGACAGGATGAGCCCTTTGTCTGCGAAAGATCGGCATGCCTGTCTCAGACACTCTTAGCAGTTTTGTCTGTACATGTCCTATTGTTTTACATCTATTTACTAGTTATATGATCATTCTGCTTCCATCAAAAGAGTCTCCATGGATCGGGTAGCTGCCCACAAATCATCAGATACGTACTCGTTGATTCCATCATATTCATTGTACATCTTCCAACATGCCCTTGTGAGGCCCATCCCCTAGGGAAGCTCTGGGAAGCCCGGCGACGGGCACGCTCCGTTGCCAGCTAGCCGATTCACTCCAGGAACCTAGGATCCTGGAAGGCACTGAGATGATTGATCCCCGGACCTCCGCCTGCACCAGTAGCTAGATCATCCAGCTCGACTACCCTAGACTTCTGTTCAGTGTGTGGGTGTTCTGGGTCTGGGACCTCTACTTTTTTTCAGGAGTAGGATGGCCATCCATACGATCTGCATTTTATGGCCGACCCGACATGTGTGTGGCCTTAAGCAGGCCTATTGAATCGCAATTGAATCGTATTGAATCCAAGGAATCTATGAGCCGCATATATGTGTCTTGTTCTTCCCCCAAAGGACCTGGAACTGTTGGTCATGCATCATATACCGGGCCAGCTGTCCGAGGTGCCGCGCGGCGGCCAGAAAAGCAGCCGTCCGGCCATCCCGCTCCTTGAAGGTCGAGCTACTGGGATGGAGGACAGCTGATCACACACCTGGCAAAGTGTCCAACAGACCGCGGGGTGTAGGACCCAACAGACCTGCCTACACCCAGGACAGCTGATCACCCAGTTTCTTGTAGGCTGTCTCCTTCAAGGTGCTCCAAGATGTCGAACCCGTTTGCACTTCCCACAAAGACTTCGATGAAGTTCACCTTCCCGCTTTATACTGGGCTCAAACCTTCACCCTGGTGACATTAACAGCATCACCGGTTGCACTTTCTGCTACGAAGGACAGAACTCTGTCTCCACAGTCCTTGGGAGATGGTAAAGTCACCAGTGTGATATGTGACCAAAGCATACCAAAGCTTCAAATACAAAAATAATTGAATGCAGGAATCCTTCTTCAACAGCTTCCCTCTCCAGATCCTTCATGCTCCGGCGTCATGGTTTTGGGGTCGTCAAACTCTCTCTCCCCCACCCGCAAAGTCTTCATGTTCCACTCCCCTCTTTAGTTTGGGGGATCGTTTTTCACTGTGTGCCACTGGTGGATGGGTGAGCAATCCTGTCCATTTGGAAAGACAACCCCTGGCAATCATACATAATCTCCGAACCCCCTGCATTTCCAGCTCTCCAAAACTGTTCAGTGGGAAACATGATGGCCCCCAACTACTGAATTTCACAAACAATCAGCTACGTAGTTTCTGATCCTCTTCTCCCTCCATCAGGCAATTGTCGGCCCGGGTGGGCCCGGTCAATGTACTTCGTTCCCTCCTGGAGTTGAACACCTCTGGCGCCGATGCGTCGTCCAAGCCGGTGGTCTAAGGGAGCAATCAAGGAAATGCTCGGTTGTGTGTGTGTTGTAGAAGAGTGCTCATCAATCATGGGATGCAAGATTGGGTAGAAAAACTCGAATGCTGTGGAGAGTGTTGTTATGTGTATTTATGGTTCGTAGAGACAAGAACAAGTGCTCAACATAATGATCACGTGTTAAACGTCTTAGTTCTACCCGCTATAGAGACAAAGGAAGAACATGTCGGTTCATGGGGCTTCTTTGCTTGTACATTGTACCTTGCTATACCTCAATCATGTGTGGAGCGTCTTTTAAAGCACACAGGAATGGCATCAATCACCTGCTGGTATCTGAAGAATCCAAGATGTGAACTACAGTAGCCCTCAGAGGGGGCGTCAAGATTTGATTGTTGGGCAGCCACTTCTTATTCTTGGCTAAGCTCGCGGACGCGGACACCTTTCTTGGAAGCGTGCGGCTTCCACCGGACACTTGGGCGCCCACCTGGAGCACTGCCTGGGGCACCGGGCCAATGATGCGTCCCTCTTGGAACAAGTCCTTGAGCCTTTGAAGGACTTTCCAAGGCAAGACCTGGGAGGGATTCCACAGGAACAGTCCAGGAGACCAGGGCATCCCCACACGAACCGTCCTCTTGTGAACAGCGACCTGCATTTGAAGCGAGGTCATCGAAATCGAACGCTGGCAAAAGAAACCTGACAATGAGTCCGCGACACTACCCAGTTGCGGTGCTATGTTATAAGCCTAGCAACGCCGTAACGCACCTTTGATTTTAGGATGTGCACCTGCTTTGGAACAAGGAAGTCAATCAATTAGTGATCTCCAAACACTCAATGCATAGCATGTTTTGTATACCTTACATAGGGTGGTTTCAGGGGTCAATGTAAGTATTATAACACACCATATGATTGAGCTATATATAATGTATAGTACTAAAACAATATGGGAGCGCGTGGTTTCAAACATATAGTCTTCCTGTCCCATGGAGTGCCACATATGAATCCATGTTCCGAACTCTCTGAAGTTGGTGCTTCAACTGGAGTTAAAACACATCGATCCGATCATCCACCAGCGCTGTGACCAGGAACGATCCTCCTCAGCGAGGTTTGAAGAACATCTGGAACACAGAGGTTGCTTGTGGAGGTTAGGCCAGAAGGGTTTTCCAAGAGGTTCCGAATCATCTTTGGCCACTGCGAGGAATTGAGTAAAAGCTCGTAAATACGAACTCCCAGGCCCAAGATTGTCTGTACATAATGTCTAATCTCACTTGGACCACTGAACTTTGCATGTGCAAACTACCGGTGTGAAAACAAATTTGATAGCCTATAGGACATATATGGACATATTGTGCCCATTCTATGTGGGTTCTCAACTTTCCCGAAAAGGCCTCGAACACCGGTCCACCTGCAACCATGCCCTGTACCTGCTTCCCAACTAGAGTAGATTCAGTCCAGGATCCACTTGGCCCAATTCGTCAGCCGTGACAATTGTGAAGGTCAAAAGCAAAGAAAACATGTGGCAAAATAACTTCTATCGGTGGAGCACCAGTCTGGTCACAGTCTGGCAGAATGATCTATAGGTTACAAAAGCCCGGCTGCAAAAGCAGAACGAAATGCTTCGGTGAAATCTACCTGGGTTCTTCAGAACTTCAAGCTGCGATAAACATGGGTTATGTGAGGTATGAGTTGGGTCTATCCTGATACCTGTAATGGGACGGATGATGATGGTTGGTAAAGGCCTTGTTCAAACTTCAAACATAATAGTAATGAATTATTGTTTACTGACTGTTACAGTAAATTTAGGACAAAACCCAAGGTATGTATAATTAATCTAGTGTACTTGAGAGGTTCCAGGTACATGTTCCACTCCACTCTCCACTCCCACGTCAGTCTGGGCCACCCCACCAGCAAGCTAAGAAGGAGCCCCAAACCACAAAGGCCGTACAGGTGGTGGAAGAAACTGCACATCGAAGAAACGGCCAATGAACATCAACAAAAGCAACGAACACTCCTGAGGTTGTGGTAGTGCACTCCTGGCACTGCCACAAATGCCCGCTCTCAAGTGCCAACGAACATTATATGATCCTTTTGCAGTCTTTCCAAGCAAATTCCGTGAAAATCGGAGCCTCCTCCTTCGGTTACCCCCTTTTTCGGGCGCCCAAAAACACCGGTTCCCCCATCTCTGAAGGCCAGGAAGAGTGAACAATCGGAGTCATCTGATGTTGTCTGCACAGCCAGGAAGATGCCAGGAAGAACAGAAAAGCAACAGAGTTTGTCACGATATACAAGTGAGAGCATGTAGAGTAAAGTCTTACTTATATCCTCAGCGCCAATCGGATGGATTGTGGTTACGGCAAATTCTCCACTTTGTGAACTCTGGTGCAGCGAAAGGATCTTGACATCAACGGGAATGCTCCAAAACAGTAAGAATTCACTCCTGTTGATCTCGCCGATCCACCCGACAGGCTGCCACATCCCAAAGGATGTGCACAAAATAATCTGCCCTCCCCAAGAAACACAGCAACATAGCATAATATAGCCCTCCCCGCTTCTGTCAGCTAGCCTTTTCCTCCAGTAGGTATAGTAGCGTCTTAGTAGCTAGGCTAGTTTGGAGCTTACTGAGGGCAAAGCGGGCTAGTAGCGGGCAAAAAATAAGCTTAAAAAACACCAATTAACAACAAAAACATGTTGCGTCATGTTTACATGTGAAGCACGTTATTTAATTGTTTTATATGTACTGTATGTGTTTAAAATGATTGAACTTATATATATATATTAATAAATGGAAAACATCGTTGATGGTCTTTTGGGCATGGATCCCTTGGCCTGCTCCCACGGCTCGCGAAGAAGCCGCTCAGCGCGATGCGCAGTCCCGCCGAGCCCACGGGCACCGCCTCGGTCCCGACGAGAGGAACGAGTCCAACACGGTTTTTAGGGTCGTTTTGAAACTATATAAGTTCCAAAGCCAGGGCTTTTTGAATTTAAGATATGAAGATGAAGAGTATATGCTTTTTTTTTGTGAGCGTTCTGAATGGTCAACTTCTGCAAGCACTACAAATGGCTGTGTAGTTGAATATGGAGATTCTGCGTGGTCAACTTCTTCAAAAACTGCAAATGGCATCAAATGGCTGTGTATTTGAGGGAGATCCCTGGACCCAAGAGGTAGACTGGTCTATTTCCCGAACCTTCCATGGGGTCGTTGTCTGGGAGGTCTCCCTTAAGAATCATACTCCACCCTCATGAGCCGAGTGCCTTCGGTGGATGGTGAGGTGGTGTCCATTCTGTCGAGTCAATGTGCACATGGTGCACATCCCTATACAAGATTGGCACCCCCTTTATGAGCACTTTCACCTCGGGTCCGCTTGGAGCCGGAGCCTGCTGTGCATGATGATATTCAATGAGGGCCTGGTTTGCAGTAAACACACACATGTGATTGGCCCTGCTTGTCCACTTGCGAAACCTCGCAAACACTAGCTGCTAGCCGAGACCTCCATGACGATGGCAACTCGTTTCGATGTGGCGGAAAAAGGCCCCCACCCCCCGGGCGGTGCTCGCCACCGATTCACCGCCGGTCCCGTGAGGTTTCACTCCGACGATCTCCCCGGCTCAGCTCCCACGCGACGATGCTGAGCACCCGCAGTTCCCACGCGCCGAAGCTCAAACCTCGGGAGAGTGGGCGGGAGCCGGTTTACAAGGGCGGAGGGGGTTCGTTCTGGGGTTGGTGTGGGGAAAAAAGTCAGTTTGCAAGGGTGGGGAGTTCTGGGGTACCTGGTTGGGAGTTCTTGTTTTCGACAAGAGAGGATTGGATTCCTGTTGATTGATGTACTCGGCACACCTAGGTCTGTCCAAACAATCATCGAAGAGTAAATCTGCAGAATCAACAGAGCGGACCATCTAACGAGTGAGAACATTCTGTCCGACCCAATCGACCTTTTGAAACCAACATGTCCAACATCCAACATCCTCGTGCGAACAGGACCGTATGGCGGCGCCGGGGGCGGTCCACCCATTCCAACAAGGTCCGCCACACGCCGCACTCGACAGATGTGACGAGAAGAAGGGTGACACAGTGCGCCCAACATGTGCCAACATGTGCCATCTACAATCATGTTCTAGAAGGACTATATATATATAAATAGTTGTATAAATATATATATATACATACATATTAATTAATAGTATATATATATATATACAAATTGATAGTAGATTGCTAGTCACATGATAGTCGGATGGCACGTCTAGACTCTCATACAGCCGTCTCATCCTCGCTGTGCGTCGAGGCGTGACACCGCCGAGAGGCCGTGAGGCATCTCTTCGGCTGAGCCTGGACCATTGGCCTGATGGAGAGGTGGAGATGGCTGGAGTCCAGAAAGTCAGTCCTGTATACAAAGCCTTTTAGGTTTAAGTTGAAAAAGCTGGCAGGATCTATTCATATTGATTCCATCAATATCCAAAGACCTTAACCACTCAATTGTTTGACATAGGCTGGCTTCATCAAGGTTCCCAGACAGGAGTCATTGATGATTGATCGAGACTTTTGGAATGCGACCACAAGGATCCAAAATGCTGCTCTGCAGGAGGCAATCATCATGGAATCACATAGACACGAATTAGATCAGCCCCCAACAGGCACGAGCAGACTTCAGCTTTTCTGCCACAGAGCATGTTGGCCCAGCCCAGAGCATGGAGTGTGGAAGACATCATGCAACGTGTGGAGTAACCGTTCAAACCGTTCTGGCATCATTTGCGAATGGCGCGGAACCAAGCCATCTCTGGCATCTCCGGCATCTCAAACATATTCGCTTGGAGCCATCACCTACCAAAAACAAGCCCTATTCGTCTCTATATAACCGCTTCAGGGGATCTCTCTTAACAACCCCTTGCAGGTCCTGGTCGTTTCCTCGTGCCCCACTCCAGGCTGGTCTCCCGCAGGCCTGGAGGAACTGCAGCGCTGCATGACCGTGGAAGACCACCACGATGAGCATCAACGCAAAGGCCTGGAACGCAACGAACGCCCACGAAGGCCGGAACGACGGTCGTTCTGCCAGGTTCTGCCACTGTTTGCCTGACGAAATGTTTGTTCGGGAGAGACCAGACTCATGTCCCTAGCTAAGTCAGTGGAGCATCGTGGTGTATGCAGTCAGCTAAAATCCAACAATCTATGTTTAACAAGTTACACAAAAACATGTTCTTCCTTTCAATGTAGTGCTGACACTTGGTGTTCAGTATACCTAGAAAGGTCCAGAAAGGTCTATAAAGGGTAACGAGTTGTTTGACCATGAAGCAGGAACCCCCTGATTCAACCACCCAACTAATATAAATCCAGGGTTCACAACTATTAATGGATGATCTCGTGACCTTGGTCCTCGAACTGGATCTCCTTTTCTGGTCAACGGTCGTAAGGGCTTGTGGCACAAGGAGATAAGATGCGGTCAGGTGTGGAGAAGCATGTCAGTTTCTCAGGGCGCACATGTCAAGATCCATCCATTTCCTGTGGCTGTTGGATGGAAAAGACACAGCCAGGGGGGTCTATAAACCACTTGAACTTGGTGCACAGAACTCAAATGCTGCTTAGACAAAAATGAAAAGAAAAGAAACACCGGCTTGGATTGTTTGTTTTTTGGTGGGTTCTTTGGTTGCAGCGAAGACTTCGTTCCCCACCCAGTTCGAGTTCGACAAGTCGAAGACCTTCCGTCCTCTAGGGGATGGGTCTGAGAGCGCCTCCATGAGTAACAGCAAGGGGTACTGGCTCAAGGGCCACCACGTGAAGCCCGACTGCAGCAGCACCGGAGCATCCTGCGAAATGGCAGGACAATCACCCATGCAATTTGGCCCCTCTTCGAGGGCTCACCAAAACGATTAGGTCGAAGGTTTGGGTCTGACCAATCGATCCGTTTTGGGTTGTACCAAAGAAGGTTGATTGTCAGCCTCCCGGACATACAACAGCCCCCTCGCTACAAAGCCGTAGCAGCGTAGCAACTTTTCCTGGGACAACCTCCGAAGCCCCTTCCCTGAGTTCTGCCCTCCCACACGGAAGGAGTCCATTCCCCATCATCGGTTGATATTGATTGTATCTGATATAATGGCGGCTTGATGGTTGGTGCTCTTTGAGTCAAATGTATATAGTCCAATCATGCCGCATGCCTAATTATGGGAGTGGGATCCTCAATGATATTGAGAGGTCCTGGGTTCCCAAGGGTTTGGGCTCCCCATGAGTAAATGAGAATGCTGAAACAAAACCCAGCTCGGAAGCGCTTAGACGCGCTGCTTTCTGGATGAGTTGTGTTTCTAGCTTAGCTCATCATGGACAGGGTGACAGGGTGTACTTTTTTGGGGCTTCAGTATGGCTTGAACATCTCTCAATCATGATTGCAAATAGAATCAAATAGGTCACACAGGTCAAGATTTCCGGGTGGCTGGGCTTTTACGCCGATGGGCTGGCGTTCGACTTCATGACTGAGTGACTTAGTGATGGTCAAACTTCAGTCTGAACGTGCGGCCAAACAGGTCATTCCAAAACCGAGCCCCTCTTTTCCCCCGGAACACGACATGATTAACTGGGCGAGCCCGTCTTCACACCACACGCGCCTCACGCACCGCCAGTAGGGCCAAGTAGGGCAGCACCAGTGAAGCACTGCTGAGGCCCGGCCACGTTTGGGGTGCCGAGACGAAACCAAGCGCGACCTGAGCATCGACACTAGAGTTTGGAAGGTTCCGACCAGCATCGACGCGATCGACGCCTCAAGCCTTGCGAAAAAGGAAAGTATTTGCTTGAACCGGCAGTCACAAAGGGGTGCTTGGAGGTTAGGGGTGCCCATTATCCACTCACTTGGGGACTAAACACCACCCCTTTGTGACTCCTTCGAGCCTCGCTGTTTGTCCGGAAACCGTCCAGAACAGAAAGTGCAATCGCTGGATGGCGTGAATAGTCTCCAGATCTCTCCCAAGTGGTTTGCCCAATATCTGCATGGAAACCGCACAAATGATCACCCAGTGAAGTGTACACAAAGAGAGCCACAAGTTAATCACAAACGACGGGCGACTCGGTGTTTGGGTTCCAAAGCTCGAACGACGAAGCAAATCTGACGGTCTTGGTGATCCCAACCAGCCTGTCAGCCTGTCTGCATCACGTCACAGGTTCACCACTACGTGTGATCCCCTAACTTGAGGATAAAGCGAATTCGTGCATGTCCTTGGCCTTGACTTGGGAGCAGTTTCCCTGTTCGGAAATCACCAGATATCACAAGCCCACAGCCTAGTTTATCTGCTCGGTCCTACCGACTGCATTCTCCATCGACCTATCTCTCAGAACATACCAGAACAATGCAATAATTCCTCTTCGTGCACGAGCACCCCTGCAGCGGTAAGGAGGGTCGCCTTGCGCTGGCTGTTTGATGATGTTCGTGGTCCACAATGGCCAGGAACATCCAGGAACCCTATGACGGCTCGTTTATTTATCTTCTTTCACATCACCTACCTGGACAGGTATCGAAAGTATTCAAAAGTATATCATAAAAACCGTGGTCAAATTTGTTTGTTCACCCAAGCCTTGTCCAAAGGTTAGCAAATCACCTATCACCTATAGCATTTTGTGAGTAACCTATTGCTTCTTGCTTTGGATTTAGAACAAATCTGTCCCATCATCCACGGGTCCAGTCAACAAAAATGTCGAATCAAACAAGACATCTCCGGTCCGGTCATTTTGACTGTTCCTATATATACATATTACTCTATACAGATTCTATATATTACAAATTCATACAATCTCTAATAGAGCTGCTCAATCAACTCATCCTGGTACAACTCCGGTGATGTTTTTGACGTGATCACTCTGTACATATTGGTCTGGGTGGGTTGGGTGAGTAGCTTAGACCCTCAATTTGTGTTCTTTATATCCTGAAACATGTCGAAGGTGCCTAGCCAAAGCCCAGACAAAGTAAAATGTAGCCAACGCAAACCTGTGCAGTAAATGGAACTCTCAAACATGATCAAACAAGAACACTATGCATGAACCCCTCGGCAAGCCTGGGGGGCCATACCTAGTACCCAGTGTAAAGAGTCTGTATGTGGCATAGAGTCTTGATGGGTGAATGAGGGAGGAGAGAGGCAATTGATTGCAAAATGGATTGTATGTTTCTAGTAGCTTCTTGTTACTAGTAGCGATGGCCTCCACCTAATAGCGTCCTTGCTACTAGTAGCTTCCTAAAGCATGCATTGGCAAAGAGGCTTTCCACGCTTCTATGCAGACTTTCAAGGTTGTTGAACATGTTTCTCCCGTCAAGATATGAACATGTCGAGCTAGTGCCTCTGACATCAACCCCTGTAGGCCTTTAAAGCATCTACAAGCAAAACAGCAAAACGTGGATTTGCAATGTACTCAGTGCTTCTCGCAACAAATGATGGGCAAAGGTCCTTCATCCTCATGAATTTGCAAGGAAACGTGTGGTGCACCCTCTGGCACCCATTCTTTCAACAAATGCCTCACCCTGACTCGGATCATCCACATGGACTACGAAGGTCAAACCTTCTAGGCTAGTTTAGGCTGTGTTGGGATACTTTGAGGTGCACTCTTTTGCAATGTTCCATGCATGCTTCTTATGCACCAGCCACTCTTTCGAGCTGGTATGGGGTCCGAAGGGGCGTCAGCTGGTGAAGAGGGCCCAAGGGGGTCCAGGTTTAAGGTCTTGACTAACAGTTTATTCATTTGGGGGTCCAGGGTTTGCAGCGTTATGACACAGTTTTGCCGTCCAAATGAATGAACTGCCATGACACTGCATGACTTGAGACGTGGTCTCTCATGGAACTCCTGTTTGACCTTCGAATCCTTATTCCTGGGTATTCCTGGTGCGTACGCATAACCAGAGTCTCTTCCAATCACTGTCGTTGATGGAAATCCTGGCCACCTGAGACGCGTGATACCATCATCCTCAGTGTTTTCTGCAGGGTTGGAGGTTGTGTTCGGCGGAACTCTGCCATCGACCGTACGCAAATTCCATGGTCCTAAAACTGCAAACAACATATTTTAGTTAATATAACTGTTTATAATGAACAATTAATATACAACATTATACAATAAACTACAGTATATAATTTAATGGCTTTCTATGACCAACTCCAACTCCAACGACATCCTTCACAAATTCGGACATATTCCAACCACAGTCTAGAGGTGAAATGCGAGTCCAACAAAATCCCATCCACACTCCTCCAATCCACCGGGTCCCACACCATGCCCTGTCCCCAATGCTTTTCTCCCCAAGCGTCTCATGACCGCCCGGTGGAGACCGGGTCTAACCACAGCGGCAGCCCCCACCTGGGCCAAGAGCATCCCGAAGATCCGCACGTTCCGCTGCACGCCGGACTCTGCCCAGCGCCTGGGACGGTCGGCCCGGGCGGGAGGCCGTTTTCGTGCGTGTTTTCTTTTCGGAGGGAGATCCCCTGGGGCCTAGACAGACTGGCAGACATGGTCTGTTTTCCGAAGCGAAACACAGAAACCTCGGAAACGCCTGAACATGGTCTGACTCTTTGCGTTTACACGCCTCTGTAGGGCCCGTCCGCGTTTTTGGTTCTCGGAGAGCATTCGTCTTCGAGATTCGATCGCCCAAGGAGGCAGCCATTCAATAGGAAAAACAGCAAGGAGATGCAAAGAGACTGAAACACCATGAAGGCATCAAAAATAGCCGGAAGCAAACATAGCAAACATAGCAAGGAAGCAAACATAGCTATCACACCATGAGGTTGACCGGAGACTGAAACTGGAACCCAGACTCTGCTATGCCCAGAAAACACTCTTAATCTCTCTCTACTACCGGCGGCATTTCTCGGAGAAATTCTGCAACTCCGAAATCCCAACAAACCTGTGCGGGCGCATGCGGATTTTGGGGTCCCAACTGGTCCCAGGTTCTGAGCCACAACTCATTGGCGCATCCGATGCGAGTCTGAGAAGACGCCCACCCGAATCCTATGGATGCAACCAATACATCAACGCTTCCGCAATTCATCTTGCGTTCTGGATTGCCTGATTGCACCCCCGACGCACCATTGGGTCGAACATTATGGCCTCGACGCGCCCGAAGAAGCTATCAATTCTCTGTCTGTAAAACGAACTATGGGGAACCACCCCAATAGGACATATATATATATATCATTATAGATCAATATAGACCATCCCCTGCATAGAATTTAGGTCTTATGAGATTGACAGAAGAACCTCTAAACCGTAGATTCTGAAGAGTAGTGGTCCGCGGGGCAAGGTTCCCCTGGCTTGCAGTGGCTGCTGGTAAGCCCAGTAGCAAGTCTGCACCGCTCAGGTTGGGCTGCCCCGACACCTCCTCATCCCCCATGACAGCAGCGATCACGAAATCCTGCACCTTCTCCTGCAAGAAGGTGATAGTTGGAACATGGAAGTGTGTTTTTCATCCCCCATGAATGACAGCCAAATAGATCACTTCACTACCCTGGGTCCAAGAAGAATCCAGCCCGGGTCAGTTTCCATCAATTCATTTTGTCTCGGGTCACGCCGTTCGGCGACCTTTTCCACGGCTGGTTGAGAGAAAAGTGGTGACTGTAAATGTGAAAAAACGCTATCGTCTGGTTTCGTGATGCTCGCCTGGGCCGCGCCATGAAAACCCCCCACCCAACCGCTCGTCTTCGGCCAGCTGAGCGGAGGGTTCCTGCGCCGCTGTTCGTTCCTTCCAACTTGGAGGTGTGGTCTCTCGTCTGCTCGGCATGAGCCAAGAGATGCCAAGAGGCATTTCCCTTCAACTCATGAGTTTTCCATGGCCTACATGCAGCTTGGCTACATGGCGTTCCATGTAGATCTGATCCCAACAAGGCAATGGATGGAGCTTGAAGTGGGGCCCTCAGGTGTACTCAGCGTTTTCTGCAGACATTCACCATGACCAACAAACCATACCAAACCCATGGAGATTAGGAAAGCCAAGACCATCTTTGGTCATGTCAAGTTCTCCTCTCTTTGGTTCTCGTCTTCACCGCTCCGCCCACCGTCTGTGTCCACCCCGGCTCCCGATCGTCCACCGTCTCTCTCACCGTGATGACCTGAGACCGGTCGGTCGGTCGCGGTCCGCAGCGAACCGCGTCTAAACGCGCAGCGCGCGCCCACGGTCGTGCGGTGCGTGCGCGATGGTCATGACCAACAGCTGTTTTGACCAAGTGCATGCATCCATAGTGATTTCCGGTGTTTTACAATCACATGAAGCGTCCAAATCGTCCAACAAAGACCAACGGAGTTGACTCCCTTGAGGCATTGCAGTCAAAAAAACAGCGTCCAAATCATGCTGTTGTGACCAGTGCCAAATCTGTGGCTCCATGAAAGGCAAGTGAATGGATGTTTGGGTGTGGAAAGAAGAAGCGGTTTGCGAGCGCGATGACGGATGCGGATCTAACCGTCCCCGTTCTGGTGGGGGTTTATTCAAGAGTCGATCATGATCGATGAGTTGCTTGCAGTCACTATCGAGTCAAAGTAGTGAGTTCGAGTCACCCCTGGTGATAGCACTGATAGGCGCAGTCATAAAAAATCCATGGATCCCTATGGTGTTTTTGTTGGTTCTAGGGCAGCAATGATCTGAGATCTGAACATGACTGTCCACTCACTTCATCACGATCAGTCTTCTGCAAGTCTTACCGTACCCAGTTCATTGGAGCAAAAGGCATCCAAAGATCGGATGTTCCTGCAGGAGCTACTTCTCAATACTCCAAGAAGTCTTCATCGACTTTTGCCCACACCCGCCGAGTGGATCAGGCCTAAGGACCTACATTTGCTTTGCTTTTCCCGCTGGATACTTCATGATACTTCAATAGTGAGCTGGCAGGGCACGCATCCATCCGGCTCCAAATCCCTGCACCTGGACAACCCGGATACCAACAGTGTGAATGCCGCTCTGAGACTCTGATGGGGACATCCGGCTGATGGAGACATGCGGATGCTCCAGGGTTTTGGTGGAATCTTCCGCTGACCCCTCCTGGCAGCCATCGCTCTTAGGGGTGGAGGCCATCGCCACTCCCGGCAGCTACATCCTCCAAGGCGCCCATTGCAAAGGGCCCTCTGCGGTGAGCCCAATCCAGGGCCTCGGAACATCGAACATCGGGTGAGACGGGGAGCCGATGGAAGGCTTCCAGGAAAGGCTCCCAGCTGATTGAAAAACCAGAGGGTGAGTACGCTGTTGGGTGAGTACCAGTGTCCTTTGCTGTTGGTTTTGTTGCTTGGCTTTATGGTAATCGATTAATTTGCGTCTTGCATACTAGGGGTCCTCACAAGGACAGAACGTATTTTGGGAAGAGAATCCTTGGATCTAATGCGGTCCAGCAAACGTTCTTAAGAGAGGGAATGGACATGCGGAACATGCACCAGGTAGGGTCCATAAATATCGTCCTCAAACAAGCAACGGCCAAAACCATGGTTCACAAATAACCTAGATGGCTGTATTCCCCACAAATTAAACCCATTTGGGGGATATCCATGGTACGTAGCTCAAGTTGCCAACTCAGTTCACTAAGATGTTTGTTCACTACTACAGGCCACTACACCATCCAACACACCATCTTGAGGCGTTCTTGGTGTTTGTTCTTGTTGGATGTAGTTGAGGTGTTGGATGGTCCGTTCTTCTGTTCACATCTCAACTTCCGTCCGACACACCGGGCCCCCATCCGTTGTACCGAGCACAGGACGCATCGGTCTCCTGGCGCTTCTTGCCTACGAAGATGAGCATCAAATGAAAAGTCAATTCTGTTTGAACGGTCTACACCGCCTGGGACTGGGAAAGGTCATGTTGGAGAGTTTCTGTTTTTTCGGTGGTGCCCGAGTTCTTAAGACACTGGCTATACCACAATGGTCAGAAACTTTTTGATGGGGTGAAGCTGCCATCCACAGTACAACCATTACGGGAAGTCCAAGTGAAGAAACCTCCTTTCTCCTATTTGAGATAGAGATAGACAGAGTTAAAATGTTCATAAGCGTGAAGTCCATCCCAACGCCAAATGAACATTATGTTCACGGGTAAGTGCATACATCCGCACAATGTAGCCAAACGTGGTTGTTTTCTTGATTGGAGGCATGGTCACTTGGTGTATGTGGACCGGGAGTTGGTCCAAACAAGTTCTTGTCGTCAACAATGGTTTGCACATGTTTGCACACATTAAGAAAACGACTCTAAACAACTCCCAATGCAAGTTGAACAACACATGTTATCATGAAATCAACAGGACAAAAAGGTAAGAACACCATGTTTGAGGTGTCCATGTTGGCTCTAGGACATGCAAAAAAGAATGTCCGGACATTATTACACGACTCAACTCCGCGCACAGTATATATATTATACAGTAGACAGATTGACATGAGGCATTTCATACTGTCTTCTGTCTGTCTACATTATACCAGTCGCATGGTGATGGGAGCCCCACTGGCCCCACTGAGTCCAAGCGAGTTCTCTGGCCTTGCACAATCTCCATCCGGGCGCTGCTCCTTGCGCAGGGGCCTTAGAACATGGCTCCAAAAAGGTCCTTTTCAAACGCGGAATGCCGATGCTGACAGGCGCCGCCTTCTGTTTGTTCACAAGCCGCAAGAGATGAATCACCCCGCAGGATCCCATCTGACGGGTGGTTCCCGTGATCCATTGATCCGTCCTTTATCCATCCTCTGCCTTTATCATCTGTCTTTTATCCATCCTCATCATCATCATCATCATCATCATCATCTGCCTTTATCCATCCTCCTGCAAACAAACATGGACCCTGAACATTGACCTTTCATGAGTGTTGATGAAGCCGAACTCGCGGCGCAGGTCTTTTCGATGGAGACAGTCACAGGTCTGGCCTGGAAGCCACCGACCAACTGCCACGGCCGTGCTACCTCGCAAATATCGGTCCTCCCATACAGGACCTGCATCATCGACACCGAGACATTCTTGACATGTGTAACACCAAGAGAGGTGAAGTGACCTGAAAAAGGGCCACACTGGGATACCTATGGGATAGTCTATAGGGTTCTTCAACCTCTGTTGGCATGTTTGTTGTCAGTGGTAGATTGACTTCATGAATCTTCAGATTCATATTTGTTGCCTGTCTTTGCCTGGATCTACGCCAGCCAGATCGGCTGAAAAATCACACGCAATTTTGTAGATGTCCTGAGGATGTCCTGCTTCTCCCAAACGATCCTCATCAGTGCGATTAGCGTGCGGAGGCAAGCGTCTCACCATATTTATGACTGTATGTTGTTCTTCTTCTTGCAAACCGGACTGGCCAGATAGTCAGATAGCCGGTGCTCCCGACTCCAGAAATCTCCAGAGTGAACACAGCATATTGTGAGTCATTCATTGCTTGTCGGTCACGAAGGGCAAGCTCACGGAATTCTTCCAATACACAGTATTATAGGGTCGCTTTCCCCCTTTTTCGAACCCGGTGGGCCAGGGCCAAACGAGTCTCCCAACGACTGACTTGTTTTGCGGAAACAAACGAATTAACAAATCAAGTCCAACCCTTGGCCTTCAGTGCTTCCAGAAAATGCCACGCCTTTCTCCATCGTTATGTGATAAACTTTTCTCTTCAGCCCCATTCCCATGCTATATACTGTACTAACTGCTGTACGATATATCCACTATATCCACCAAAATGTGTATTTTTCTTTCACAGGCATACCCCCATCGCCCCAAGACGCAGCGTCTTCATCGCTCCAAGGAGCCGCAAAAGACCACCAACTGCACCGGCGCGTCACGGGCGAAGCGGCAGGCAATCCGCCAAACGCCTCCGGCGGTCGAGGTTGCTTTCCAGTTTGCATGAGATTGTTTTCAAGATTCAATGCTTGGAACATACCTGTTGCAAAGATTGCAATGGTCTTCCAACGTAATTAGAAAACTCACAATATCACACAATCCATCACAATCCTGTTAATAATTAAGTGGAAAGCAGCATGGTCTTCCAACAAACTCAGGAACCATGTTCTGCCCATTACCGTTCATCTGAGCATCCTCCCTTGGGTGACACAGGTGCTTATCTACCTCGCAATTGGCTTTACAAATGTTTATCATTTATAACATGTTATAACATCATGCATAGTTCATGGGACCGGACCTCTCCTTCGAAATATAGTCAGACGTCTGTATCGGCCACCACAAGCGCCCCCCCCAAAAAAAGAAACAAACACCCTCTCCTCCCAGTCTCCCAGTACATCAGGTTGCTGACTGAAGTACATCAGGCCCGCCTACTTGGCCTTCAGGTTCACAGCTCACACTTCGGTTCACGTCTCGCACGTCCTGCAGCTGGCCGGGTGAGCGGCCGGGTGTCTTTTCATGCGCCTCCCCGTCAAAGCCGATCGGCGAGAACAAAGAAGTCTGGCAGGTCTTCATTGGGCTTCTTGGAAGCTTTCATTTGGACTTCGATGTAGGTAAGCCTCACACATTCTTCCGTTTGAACTGATTCCCAAAAATCAAACTAGTTGCTGAATGAAGTTTCTGAGGCTCATCAATTCGTAAGAATGTCACTTCACCCCGTCGTTAACAAAGTCAGGGCCACAGTGTTGTTGCGTAGCCTAAGCATGTTTAAGCTACTGTTCATTTGGCCCACAACCCCACATCCCCAAAACCCCACTCCATCAGGTTGGAGCCGGAGAACAGGGACCTCCCTGAAGAAACCCAGCGAGTCTGTAGCAAATAGTCCTATATAGCTCCATACAATGTCTTTACAAAGCAGCGAACTTTGGATCTTCCACCTCAGTTAAGTTCCAACTCATTCCAACCCATTCAAACCCCAAACAAAGCGGGATGTCCCTTTTGGACCATTTCTTCTGTTTTCTGGTCTCATCTCTCAAGAACCTCGGGCACCCCGACAATCGCCCAGCTTTTGCGAAAGCGCGCAGCGACCAGGGGCAACTCCACCACGGTCTGCCGCCCGGAAGGTGCCGCACGATTCGGCGCTGTTCCAAGACTTCAGATGGCATGAACCCCAACCTTAGATGGGGTTTTCATACAACATCATACAACCACCTTTTGGATCTTGTGGATTGGGCCATCTACAGTACTCTCAATCCACTTACTAGGTCTATCTCGGAACCAATCTTCTTCGCATTGAGCCAGGTCCAGGTGAGAGGTTGGGACCACTGGGCCAATCTGGGGGACTCTGCTTGCAGATCACGTCAGCCCCTGGATTGAAAAAACAGAATTGGATGGCCAGGGCGCAATCTATGCCATGCCAGAGCCTGGAAGGATGCAATTCTTAAGTCTCTGCTCCATCTTCACGGCAGGTTTTGACATGAAAAACACCAGGTGGACTGGGTCCACGCTTCCGCTGATCCACACGCGCTCCCATTCGCGTGGTCGGTTTTTCGCGTGGAGAGTGTGGCCCCGAGCCTTTTGGTCCGAGCATGTGAGTGCCAGGAAGTGTAGCGGCATCAACCGGGGGTACTTCACCACAGTTCCCAGTGACCTGTCCTTCATCTTCGCGTGGGTTGTGCCCAAAACTTTGCGTTTAGTGCAGCTGCACTCAGGACTCGACATGAGCAAGGACTCGCATATTGTGCCCAACGAACTTGGTTCCCAGATTTTCCAAGTTCATATAGTTCAAGTCTTACCCGAATCATGTGACATCTGTTCTTCCCACGGAATGGTTGCTTGGACGGTGCAAGCAAGGGATGATGGATCTCCAAGTGTAGCCTGTTGAACACCTCATGGACATCGACTCAAGCACCCGTGGCGAACACACCACGGGACGTCCCACCTGGTGACTCAAGGTAGCCTGAAGAGCTAAAAGTCGTGCTGCCTGGCAGAAGTTGTGCTGCAGCTGGGAGCTGTGGAACCCACAGCTGTTCGCCACATCTGTTCTTTCTTCCAGTATCCTAGACGAAGTTGGAAGGTTCGTCAGTTTGATCAATTAGGGCTAAAAATTGGGTGGTTCACACTTGTGACTCTGATCAAACCATGTGGACATATCTCAAACCATGTGGTCGACCACCCCAAAGGCTTGCAAATGGACACATCGCACCTACACCCCGCCTGGCTCCGGAAGGGGATGCCCAAGGTCGGCGTCTGGGCCTCGCCGGAAGTCCGGCACATGCCCCAACTTAAAGAGCCATGCTGAAACGATGTTGTGTAAATCCAAAGACCTATGGAGGAATGATTTTGAGATTGATGGGCTTTGATCGACATTGGCCCAAAGATGTGTCTGCTGTCTATGTGTCAACCTCGCGCCCGTGTGCTCGGTTCTAACTGATCTGGGGATTTCCTGGATTGCTATGGATCTCTCGGGGCAGGGGGTTCAATTGGTCCAACCTGCTGATGAAGTTCTATCCACCACACATGCTGCTCCTCAAGATGCGGCGGAATGATGAGAGTTCACTCCGTCGCCCAGTTGGGACCTAAAGTAAATGCACCAATACCCTTCATCATGCTCGACTGTCTTGTCGGACAATGCATATACTGTCTTTAGTGCATTTACTATGGTGTCAAAGGTATCAAATGCTTCTTGACTGGACTGTCTTTCGATACATGTGGTACAAGCGATACAAGAACTCCAGTTCTTACTTAGTCGGTCCCTCACCGTGAATCGAGCATCTTTCGCCAAGCCAAGTCTAGAAAGTTCTAGAAACGTCCCGGCAAAATCAAGGAGTTCATCATGGTTTGCCGATCATTTGGCATATCTGGTATGCCTGGTTTCGAACTATGTTTGTTTCCTCCCAAATTCAGGTCAGGTGAGGTCACCAGGTCAGGCTGAGGACGAACGACAGCTCAGCAAACAGCGGAGCTGCTCCATCAGTTGACACGAGCGAGAAAAAAACCGGTCACGACCTGCTCCGATCCTCTCATTACGCATGGCGTGTGGCTCTGCTCCCAGATCTGATGTTGTTACTGAAATACCCATGTCCTGAGGTCACCTAACAGGACCTAACAGCTGTGGGACATATCACCCAAGAAAAGGGCTCAATAGAGAAGAAAGGGTTACAAATGGTGACGATGTCATCGCCTGAACCATTTCTCTAAACCCATCGACCGGCCCCAAACGACTCTTCACTTAGCAAACCGCCGCTGATCGCACCCACTCGCACCGAGCACAGGGGGCGGCACCGAGCACGGCACGTGTTCTCCCAAAACGGCCAACGCCCGGACCCGTGCCGTGGCTCGCGCGTCTGTCCGCGCATGAGCGGACCTGCAAGGGCCACACCGCCGAGGTCTCGATCTTGGGGCGCAAATTCACGCCCACCTGGCGCTCAACTCGCGGATTCACCCGGGAAGGGACTAGGAGGCAACCACGGTTTTTCCCAAGGACAGTAGTGGAGTTTGGAGGTGGACTTGGTCTGGGGATTGTAAAGAAGAGAGAATCAGGAGCTGGTGATTGCATCCGAACTGGTGAACTAGGCCAAAGATGGTTGAGTGAATACCTCTACTTGCTTAAGAAGTCAGCAACGAACATACCCATGGTTCCATGTTCCAAAACCACTTGTGGGGTGGGACGGGAGACAGGGGACGCTTATATCGCTCATAATACGAATATGTTATGGGTGGTTCAAGTTGAAGACCTCGTCTCTTCGCTTCTTGTTTCTTGGGCTGATGACCCTAGGTCACTGCCCCGCACACAGGTCAATTGCAGCGTGCATCGATACTAACACCAGTATCGTAGGGCGAAGATCGACCCTTTCTTCCTGTTCGAAGCGCAGGGAGCTTTTTCCAGTCGAGTGATGCACTTGGAAAATATCCCTATAGTCATCACACCTGTGTCATCTGGATTATATATTATATATATATATTTATTTAGGCGAAGAGCGACAAAAAAACATCAAAAGAAAAGGTGTGGTAGACGACGTGATCCATCACTCTTACATAAATGGACTCTGAACATGATAGACAGGTGGGCTGACACGGCCAGCGGCTTCACTATCCTCGTCCAACATCTCTTCGACTGTCAACATCACCACCAGCAAACTTATATGATAAACTACTATAAACTATATTTAACATATCGTAATTAAGTATAGTAATTAATATATATATAGTGTAATTGCCCTGATGTACGCTGTATCTCAGATTCTGGTCTATAGTATATAGAGTCCAAAGTGACTTTTCCACCTGAAGTTCATGACTCCCGAGAGCCGCATCTTGGGTGGTCTGGAAATATGATCCATAAACAAGAAGCTTCTTGGAGAGTCTAAGCCCTGAAGCCGTGGTTCTGAAAGCCTAGCCTGTGAACCTGACCCCCCACGTCTTCACTCTGTCTTCAGAGAAAAAAACAATCAACAAAAAAAAACACACACACACATTCCAATGAATTCCAAACAGGAGTCTTTGAGCATCTTTGAGCCGGTTCCTTCGACCTCCGCGTCAGACCGACCTCGCCCCGCGCGTCCCGCGCCTCCGGGCCAAAGCCGAACTCGCCCGCTTCGGCCTCCGACCGCTTCGGCCTGACGGGTCGTCCGGTCGGGTCACCGGTGGTGGGACCGGTGGACCGGTCCGGTCACAGTGGGTCACGGTCTTCCCGAACGGGAGAGTTGGATGAGAAACAAGAAGATGGATCCAATGAAGTCTTGGATGAAATCCTTTGCTCCAGCTCTTTTTCATGGTGGTGCCATCCATGGTTTCAATCTACACCCTGGTAGACGATCCCATGGACCCTGAACCACTGGTTGGTAGAGGAAAACCATCTTCCAGGGGGTTCAGACAGTCAGGGTCTATGTTAGTTTTCGGAAGTGTATTATCTAAAGAACATGAGTGATGTTGGGGTGGATGATGGTAGATGTGCCTTGGAAGGATTGGCAGGATCTTGTAGGGAAGACTTGACAGATCTTGACATCCTTTTGTGGGGGAACTTGAGAACAACTATTGTGTTGTGTGTTCATGATTAGTTGATCCATGATCACCCATATCAAACATGTTGATCAGTGCTGCTGTCAATTGCTACTTTAGCCCTCCATGGAAGCAAGTTGGCCACACATCCTTTCATGCCAGCACAGCGGCCTCACAAGTGAATCACTATGACTATGCCCATCAACAGGGAGTCATTCATCACCTCCCTGTCTTGAAAGATGGTGAATGACTCTCATAGCAAACTCAGGAGATCCAGCCAGCATGCCAAAACCTACGCCAAGACCTCAAATCACACGGGTGACACATGGTGAAGCCAGCAAGCCAAGTGTTCATCTACTCTGGCTTTTGTCTGATCCCCCTGGGAACTCAATCCCGGAAGCATCTGCTTGCTTCCCCTAAGAGACTAATCTACCTCACAGGGAGTGTATGATGCAATCCCACCTCTTCCCTGGTTACTGCCTCTTCCCTGCTTGGTGTGCCTTCTGATCTAGGGTTCTGAGATGTTTTGATTGTTCGACCCAGCATTCTCCACTGCCCAAGCCATCCACTAAGCTGTGCGACCATGGGCTGATGGTAAAGCTGGCCTGATCACACGAAGAGCACGGACATCGTGGCGACTGGCAGTTCATGCTGTTCATGATGGTTCGTGTTTTGATGAACTTAGACTCGTTGGACCATGTTGGACCTTGATTGACCCAAATTCCATTCCCCACAAAACTGAAGAGGATTCCTTGAACCCTTCGCGTCTTGACCAATAATTGGCGAAGGAACTCAGGGCCTCAAAGCCTTGGGGATGTCACGAAGGAGTTGGGTATTAGTAGAAGTCTCTTTTGACATGGATGGCGTCTGCTCACTGGTCGATTTGTGGCTGTTTTGCGTCTGCTTGTTTGCTCAAGTTTGCTTCTCTTGTCATCTTCTTGTAAGGTTCCTGTCCTCAATCGTGGGATCAAATCGGACCCATGTTACTGCAGTTCGCCCATCGGACCCACGGAACCAACACATATGGAAAACGTGCGACGGAACCATGCGACGGACATACTCAGACTCCCTGGAATCATGCACGCTTGGAAACACATAAGAAATTAAGGTCCATCACCATGTCATAGCCCATCATAGTTCTACTCCGGCAAATGAGAAACATCCACTTGCTTGGCAAGCTTGCAGTGGTGAGAGTATGTGGGAGTATGAGTATATGAGTAAAAAGTGAAATCCAAATCCCATGACTTCGTCCAAAGGTGTGGCTGCTTCAGATGCTTGAAGATTCAGCTCAGCTCAGCTCTGCCCAGCTCAGCCCAGCCTCTGGAACATCTGCATCCTGGAGACACCTGGGTGAACGACTGGGGGTCTCAGACCGTTTTTGGAGATTGGACTGAATTCAGATTGAAAAGGGACTGGGAAGGACCGTTTGGTGTATTTGCTTGGATCGAGGGCATCCTTGAAACAAATTGATTGATCCAGGCACCAGGAAATGGTCAAAGGTGGACCAGGTGAAGAACCAGCAACATCACCAACTGGCCAGGCCGCCGCCTCATTCACTGACAACCCTTGCCAATCCACTGGAGTGGTGGACTGGGCCTGATGATCTGAAGCTAGTCCTGAATGTCCACCTCCCGCAACATTGTGATTCCAAATGATTTTTGGGAGACCCAAACGTTTCAATCTGGAAATCTTTGTTGGTGTTCCAAGACTCCCGGGTGCATATTGGTTTTACAATTGGTTTATAATATTAATGTAATTAACATTTGTGTGGAACTCATCCAAGAGACCATCCTTTCTTAAACCCTTGGTGCTGTTCTGTTGAACCTTCAATTGGTTCCAAACCACAGGGTGTAACTCAGTCTCCTTCGCGAAACAAAACAACATCACCCCGTACCAAAATCAGCGTCAAAACCGCCGGTGGCATGGCTCTGCTCGTGCCCGGGTGCCCCAACAAGATCTGCTCCTTTGTCCAAGCGCCCAGTCCCTGAGCCTCGGAAGTCGGGGGCCGTGGACGCCGGTCACAAGATGCGTGCGTGTGGAGATCCAGACGATCTCCAGGTGTGGAGATGTGTGGAGATCTGGGAGGATGCCCACAAAAAGCAGGCAAAGAGGGATATTGTTGATGAATCGACAGGACTGTACAGGCTTTGGAGCCAATCGGATGGTGCCTGGTCAGTGCCAAAGTGTCCCGAAGGAGGATGAAAGCGGGGAAAATCCAACCGCCGTTGAAGACATGCGGGCAACATACCAGGGGACCATGAACACAACAAGTAGCTTGAGAAACAAAAGCGGAGCTACAAGTAGAGTCTAGCCATAGCTGGGTTCAAAAGGTTGAACTCCCAGCAGTTTCATGTTTGCACCAGCGTTTTCGCAGGGTAGACATGCATCGAATGTCAGGTTCCAGTTCTTTATCTAGTTATATCCTTTTGCATCAGCGGTGTCGGTGTGTGTGTGTGTCATACTCTGTCCCAAAGAGTTTTATTAAGAGCAGGGGACCAGGCAGGATGCATCGTCGCCTGGTCAACGAAGCTGGCGATGCATCCACAATCACAAACACATAACCACAAACACAAAACCACAAACACACAACCACAACCACACAACCACAACCACAAGTACAAACACACAATCACAAAGACACAACCACAACCACAACTACAAACACATAATCACAAAGACACAACCACAACCACAACTACAAACACATAATCACAACCACTACCACTACCACAAACACAACCACAAACACATCCACACACACACACAACTGCAAACACAACTACAAACACACAATCACAAAGACACAACCACAACCACAACTACAAACACACAATCACAAAGACACAACCACAACCACAACTACAAACACACAATCGCAAAGACACAACCACAACCACAACTACAAACACACAATCACAAACACAACCACAACCACAAACACACAACCACAAACACACAACCACAAACACAACCACAAACACACAACCACAACCACAACCACAACACAGCACACAACCACAGCACACAACCCGAGGACCCACAAGCAACATCGAGAACTACAATACTAACGACTATGGCAACATGCTCCTCACTATGGCATCAAGACAAATGATTGAAATGTCATGGTGGGATCACTCGAAGTAAAGTAATTAAACATCTTCAAGTTTTTTGGACTCACTCCCTTTTCCGTTCCCTCATTCCTTTCCTCGGTTTTGATGTAACTGAAAACCCATTGTCAAAGTGTGCGCCGCTGCGCCGTCCCACTTGGGTGCACAGTGTGATCCCCGTCACTGGGGCGCTGAATTCACGCTGGACTACCACTTAACTGACACTGCCACTTTCTGCACGCGTTGGATTATCTTAACGGATTTTCGGTTCACTACTGTATTCTCAAAATCAAAGCCGCCGGGCTTCACGGTTTTGCGACTGATCTTTCACTGCATTGCAAGCTTTTACTTTCACACGCTGCCGTTGGCACCGCCAAGCGGAAGTTTGTCGAAGGGCTTCTGGACACGGACACCGCCCCACAGAAGCAGCTTCCTTGTCGCGGCGCGGCGGCATGACCCATACACTGCTTGCAAATTGGTCACAACACGTTCCCTAGCTTCTGGACTGAATGATTATTGCTTGCAGAGCTGTAGGTGAAGAATAGAATGACCTCGCCGAAATCGTGCCCTGCCCATCGCCTAAAGGTTTCAACGGTCTCTTGTCTTGAAACTCGTTTGAAGCTGTTTTCCTGCGCTCGTTAAAGAGAGCGCCTAGGTTGCGTTGCTGACCGTAGCACAGCGCGCGCGCAACCTACTGAGTGCAGCCAACCAAGTCGCTGTTTGGAGCTGGCGCTGGCCTTTGGTGCCTTTGGCCGCAGACCAGCCTGCCGCAGCAGCAAATGCCCAAGCCGCAGCACTTGTCGTTGCGTGCCTGAAACAAATTCACACAAGCCACAACATCTCTGACAAATAGGATCGTTCTCCACAAGGTTGTGACTCGAATTTCGACTTTCGACATGTCACGTCGTAAAAACGCGGAGAAATAAGTTTAAAGCAAATTGTCGCTCCGTGCCCCGCTTGGGCGCCTTGTTTGAAGGCATCATAGGCCGCATGCGCGATTTGTCCGCCAGCGTGCGCGTGGGCCAATGCCTTCAGCGCGTCCGCCCGGTCGGCTTCAGCAGGGACAGTCAGCGCAGCCTGCAACGAGAACGGAAACTGAAACAACCTCACCTGCATGTCAAGGCCAACGCAACAACTGCTAGGTTTCACAACGCGAAAAGCAATATCCGACCAACAAGTCTGAACCCCTTCTGCCCTGTCCTCCTGCAGCTTGTCTGCAATCATGGTGCCGAGCCCACGGGTGGATGGGGTCGGGGCAGTAAGCAAATACTGCCGAAATTGCCCGTGGGACCGGAAATGTCTGGGTCGGGCCGCAACGCCGCCAGCGGGTCCACCAAAGGCTCCGGCATGCCCTGCAGAGCGCCCGCGAAATAGCGAAACCCGATAAAAATAAGATAGAATTGCCTGTGTGTTTCAAATTCGCGCGCTGGCCTGAGAAGTGGCACGAACAAACGCCACAAGCAGCGCAGAGCTGCAGCCACAAGGCTTGTCCCCGTCATTGTCCATGCCGCTCAGCAGGGTGCCTCCATGTAGCAACTTGCGCGCGCGCGGCTCTAACTGCTGACCATGCGACATATCTATAAAAGGGCCGGCCTCCCTGGCCCTTGCAGGAAGTGATGATGGCGTTGTTGCCGACAAAAGTCGCCCCCCGCGGCGTATCCACGGCTGTCCAGACCTGTCAAGCATGGTTGGTCGCGCGCCACGGAAAGAAAAAGAAGCTGGCGAACAATACGAGAATAGCGATGCCATGTTCTTGTCACTCGTTTTGTTTATGGCGGATACCGAGCCGAAGCAACGCAGCTTGCGTAGGCAGGCCTGAATGTCGGCAGGCACCATGACGGGGTAGCGCCAAAAGACAAAATCTCCGCGCAGAACCTTGCCGTTCCGGGTGATCACGCATTGCCCCTCCTGGTGGGCGTCAATAACGCGTCGATCGAAACCAGAAAATTTAGATTTCGGCCCGCGCAAGAAAAACATGCAAATGCAGCTGGAATGAAACTTTAACCCCAAGGCCTCCAAGTAGTTGCCCCAGGGATCCGGAATGGCGGTCCCCACAATGGCTACACCCGGGATGCGCAGGAGCGGTTTTCTGCTCTTGGCTTTCGCCATGGCACAGAAACGCCGCAGTCCGCGCATCAGCCCGTCCCGCAGCGCGTCGTCCATTAATCTAATTGGAGAAAACAAGAAACAGAACACGCAGAACGGGAAAATGAAGAGAGAATGATCTTGTCTCCTTCGTGCCGCGGCCAAAAGCCCACGGGGTGTGCTCGGGACAGGATTGCGAAAGCAATCCGAGGGATGTCTCCGGCTCGACGGCGTCAGGTTTTGTCGTGATATTGCACACCCCAACGCGCCGGTCTGCCCAAGCGCTGTCCTAACCAGGGACGAAAAGCGAAGCCAGTAATCAAATGTAACGAAAACTCGTTATAACTCGTTGCCACAGACCCGCCAAAGCCCCGCAGACTGCAAAAAAAAAGAGCCCGGCCTCGGCTTGTTGCTCGCGGCCGTCTCGGCGCATGGCCCATGCTTCGTCCACGACAAAATCCTGGCAAAGCTTGCTTGCGCGAGCAAATTTTCATCCTTGCGCGGTAGGAATTCGGGGCGCCACATAGTCATTTTTTTAAACGCATGAGACCCAGCAGGGTGTAGACCTCAGGGCTTTGAATCATTACAGTAGTCGAAGATGCCCCCACGCTAATGAGATTGGATTGCCCTTGCCAAGTGTCCTCATGGATGCGGCCCGTTTATTATTGTCTCTGCGGGCTCGAGAAAACGAAGCCACCGCTTGCCAAACAGGAAGCTAGCAGAAACACCCCGCGAGAAAACATGTCCGGGAAAAGCTTGCGTCGAATTTCAAAGATTGAATCTGTTCGTGGACATGTGTTGCCCTAGCGGCGAATTGAAGCCCTTGCAATTGAGCGCTAGTACCGGGCGCGGAAAATGATACTAGAACTAGAACTGAGTGAGCACCCCGCCGCCTCTGTGAAATGGATGCATCCTTGGACGAAGTTGTCCAGCATGACCCCCGCCGCTCGCCGCGCAGCATCCGTGGAGGGCAGCAGCGCGCGAAGCCGCAACACCGTCAAGAGCTGGACGCTCAACTCGGCTTCCTAGTCATGGTCATGGACGCGACAACGATAGATTTCTGTAAGGTTCACCAAGCAGTGCGATCACAAAAGTTTCGGGTTTCGGGTCTCTTCGATGTGGTGCCGATCCAATATCGATGCCTAGTTCTGGTCCACCTGCGCCTCAAATCAAAACAACAAAAGCCAGTGGAGGTCACATCTGCGTGAGCACGTCTATGTCAAACCGGCACTTGTCCTATATAGGCGATGTTTGGAGTCCGGGGCCTGTGTGAGTGGGCCATCGCACTTTGATGGTGCTGCTGCGGAGGTCCAGCGCGAAAGGATCTGCGCTTTCGTAGACTTGGATCATCCCCTTGGCCAAATACGTGTTGGCGTCAACTGGGAAGAGGCCACGAAATTGGGGAAGTCCATAAAAGATGCGACCACTGGCGTCCTGCATCACTAAAAGCGTCCACGGATACAGGTCGATGAAATTGATAAAACATTCTCAAGAAGAGAATTTAAATCTATATGACTGCGACTATAGACAATCGAGGTCTACGCAACAAAAGAAGATCCTTGACGGCGTCGTCCATCATGCCCAACTCATAGGCAAGGCACATCCCAATCCTCGCCTTATGGGACTCATGGCAAAACGGTCAACGTTCCTTTTTGTTTCAAACCTGTCAGCAACGACAACGTCAAACCGCCTATCGCAGATAGCTTAGTAGCAATAAAATTGCGTGTCTTCAAAATCTTCAAGTATTCGAAAATCGTTTTGGGCGACGGGCCCGCCTCGCCGTCCGTGACGTTGGCAC